TTTGTCTTAGGTGCAAAATTTATTGAGGGATAAAACTTGGGCTTATCTGGAAAATGACTATATTCTAAATGTTAGTTTAAACATAATTTATTGTCCAAAAACATTGACAATAGGATCAGACACAAGTTTTGCAACTTAGAACGTCTTCTCCATTACATACAAATAATAAATAACTGAACAAAATAAAATACATGTAAATAACATCATATACAATATTAATAAATGTTGTCATATACTGTAAATTCAGAAATTATTGCGTGCATTTATTATTGCGATTTTCTAAAAATGGACAAAAATGCGAGATTAATTATTGCGATTTAAGTAAAATCTGCATACAGGTATATTTATCAGATATCAAAATGCGAGTTCTTATTATTGCGATACTCACCCAGTCGCATTATTCGCATTAATAAAAACCTCGCAATAATTTCTGAATTTACAGTATGAGAGTTAATACAAGGTATTATATTTATAACAGAAAATCAGACTTTGGGACTGATATGGGCTTGAAATTGAAATGAATCACCTTAAGGCATATACAATGTTTTTTTCTTAGATGAACAAAATTTAATCTTATTGTAACAGCAAGAATTGAAAATATTAGAACAATTGAAAAGGAGAATTTCTTTATTGAGCATTTTGTAAAAAAACCTTTACAACTGGTCAAGACATATTTAAGTTATCAACAGACATGAAAGTTGTCTATTACTATAATAATATTACAATTAATGGTATGAAATAGACAGGACATATCCCCCTTTGACAAAACCCATGGTGCAATAGAAAGGTTTTGTCATGTCAAACAATAATATAATTATATGGTTTTAATGTTGACATGAAAATGTTAAAAAAAAATCAATTATCGGTATTTAACCAGGAGGTCAAGGTCATCTTCAATGGTTTGAAGTGATACAACTATATGCCAAATACAAACATAATTGATAAGAAAATGTCAAAACTATTTTTTTTTGCCCAGGCAGGTTGTATGAGAACACATACTAAAAGAAGAACACAAAGAAGTACTACTAAATTAATAGGTCATGCTTCATTGAAGGACAGATATATAACAAATTAAAGAATATTGGCAAATACTTATAAAAGTCTAATGATATGCTACATTTATAAATGTTTTTGTGCTGAGCTTATGTTACATATTGTAATATAGTCATATATCAATTGCATATAAGGCTTAATTATAATATCTGGTATGAAGGACAATTAACTAAATATGTAGATTTTGACAAATACTGACAAAAAAATTGGGGGAAAAGTGGGATAGAGGATTTTTTTCATTTTTCTTCAGTACAACAGGATATGTCAAACATAGTTTCTACACCACAATTACATTGATTATGATATTTTTCTGTTGATATTGGATAAATATTATACCAAACAAGGTCAAGTCATAGAATCTGTTTCTCTAATGATTTTAAGGATGTACACCTCCGAGGAGCCAAAAATTTCTAGAACTAGACTTTTTTCTTCACCAGATTTTAGGGTTTATATGACTGTAAAAAAATAATTGGTGAAGAAAAAATCATATGGTGGTGCACTAATTTTTTTTGCTATGGCCATTTGAAAGTACAATCTGAATAAATTTAACTTAAAAAAAATATAGGTAGGTGTTAATATAAGAAAGTTTTATAAAATTTTGTTGCTTTTTCGTGTCAAATTTACCATGCCGTCAATTTTGTAAATTTGGGTTTTTTCTCTTTTTTTAGAACAAAAAGCATATTATTTCAACTTCTTTTTTATAAATGATTGAAAAAATACATATCTAAGAAATTTGAAAAGAAAAAATTGATATGGGATGTACATGTTTCTGGTAAAATCATTTCTTGTATCCCTCACCCATTTTCTCAACATTTTGGCTAATTTGAAAATGTTATTACTCAAAAACTTCTTATTGTAAATGCACAATTTTTTCACAGAGTTAAGTTTGATTATAATATTTTTTAAATTCATTGATATTTTCCACTTGTATCACATGTTTTGGAAATAATTCCAGAACGAGATTTCAACGAGACTGAAATGTCAGAGGATACATCCTTAAAATAGAATGCAGATTGCAATGTTCTGAATGGATATTAAGGGAAATAACATGAGACAAATTTAATCAAGAGGGGTTTATAAAAACTTATCAAACCGGTCACAACCTGTATAATTGAACAAAGATTCTTTAATTCTTTAATACTTAGCCTTTTTATTCTTTTCCAGCCTGTTTTATATTTTATATTTTTTAAATCAACATATGGTTCCTTTGATCTCATCTTTATTGGTCAATTATGAGGTCAAATTTGATTGTTTTCCTCTTGTGACATTCAAGTAAAAAATAGACCATGTCTGATGACACCACATAGAATTCATTAGAGAAACAGATTCCACCACCAGATCTTGAGCAACATAATATTTCTCCACTCGAGATAGATAAATATCACAATCATGGCAGTGGTAGAATCCAGAACAGAACAAGGACCCTGATTAAATTTTAGAAATCTCTAGAAAAAAAGGGTTGAAATTAAAAAAAAAAAATTGGATTTATGAGATTTACTAACCAATTTTAAAAACATAAAAACATAAATACAACCATTAGAAAGATTCTGTTTATAACAGAATGATAACAAACTAACACATGTTAATTAATCATTTATCACAAGAGTTATATCAATAAACATAATGCTAGCAAGACATGTGGAGATAAAGTTATCATACAGAATATGCCCATACTATTGGCTTCTGGATGTCAAATAAAGAACAATTAACACAAATAATAGATAATTAAACTTATTTTTTGCATTAAGCATAATATCATAAAAAAATAGAGATACAGCAAATTCCACCCATTAAGAAATTTCCCTCACATGAAAATTTCTCCCTTTGGAGGAAAAATGGAAAAGCTGACATCGATACAATTTAAGTTGACTAACAATTAATGGATAATAAAATGCTCCGCTGGGCGCAGCTTGATACGACCACAGAGGTTGAACCCTAAACAGTTGGGGCAAGTATGGACACAACATTCAAGCTTGATACAGCACTGAATTTGGATTGTAATTAAATATTTGACACAGCATAGGTTTCTGACACTGAATGAATGTGGTCTAAGAACTTAAAATTTTTTAATTTACTTATTCAAACCATATCATTATTATTTGCTTTTATATATAAATCAGAAATAACCAATTTAAAATGGAAAATTTTAAAGAAAAAAAGGAACCCCCCCCCCCCCCCCCAAATTTTTTGAACCCCCTTATGATTCATCACCCCCAAACTCAATCCCAGCCTTCCCTTTGTGGTATGGTACATTGCAGTACAATTTCAGAGAGATCCATACACTTGAACACAAGTTATTGTCTGGAAACTAGAAAATGCTTGTTTTTTTGCCCCTTTTTGGCCCCAAATTCCTAAACATTTAGGGCAATTACCCCCAAACTCAATTCCAGCTTTCCTTTTGTGATATGGAACCTTGTAGTACAATTTCATAAAGATCCATACAATTACACACAAGTTATTGTCCTGAAACTAGAAAAATGCTCATTTTTTCCCCCTTTTTGGCCCCTAATTCCTAAAATTTTGAGGCAATTACCCCCAAATTCAATCCCAGCCTTCCCTTTGTGGTATTATACCTTGCAGTACGATTTCAGAGAGATCCATACACTTTAACACAAGTAATTGTCTGGAAACTAGAAAAATGCTTATTTTTGGCCCCTTATTCCTAAACGTTTTGGGCAATTACCCCCAAACTCAATTCCAGCTTTCCCTTTGTGATATGGAACCTTGTAGTACAATTTCATAAAGATCCATACACTTACACACAAGTTATTGTCATGAAACTAGAAAAATGCGTTTTTTGCCCCTTTTTTGGCCCCTAATTCCTAAAATTTGGAGGCAATTACTCCCAAAATCAATCCCAGCATTCCCTTTGTGATATGGAACCTTGTGGTACAATGTCAGAGAGATCCATACACTAACACACAAGTTATGTCTGGAAGTTACAAAAATGCTTATTTTTGGTCCCTTTTTCCTTAACTGTTGGTACCATAAGCCCTAAAATCAATCCCAACCTTCCTTTTGTCGTATTGAACCTTATTGTAAAATTTCATAGAGATCCATTCACTTAAACTAAAGTTAGAGTGCGAAAACCAATGTGTCTTCCGACGACGACGACGGCAAACACGAGGTTATACCAATATACGTTTTTTTGCGGTCGTATATAAAAAATGAACGAAAATTCTCACATATGACTGCAGGGCCACAGTTAATTTTTAAAAAGGCCATGAGCAAATATCCTTTTCAAAACACATGAAAATCATACATATCATTTTAAGAAATATCATCACCTCTTTCACACAAATTTGTTGATTATATATTAATTTTATCAAATTTAATCTGATACTTTATTAAAGTAGCAAATAAAGTGGTGACAAGCAATAAGAAAATACCAGTAACAAAATCACACAAGGTTTAATGAAAATGCATAAGGCTATCAACATTGAGCAGGTACTTACACTATATAATGTCTACTTTTCTTCATGTACATATCAATAATGTTGTACATATTACTTAATAATACTGTAAGTCAGTTTTACTTAATATGTACATATCTACAATACTGATTTGAATATTAAACAGACTTTTCCTTTATGCAATGTTTAAAAATTTTGAAAAAAAGGAATACAAGGTTGATGTTCATGAGACAACATTCCTAAGATATACTGAAGAAAAAACACAAGGAGCGCTATGATATCATGTAATTCTGAAAAGGGACCAACTCAATGCCAATACAGGTATAAAGTAAAATAAACAACTTTTTTTTCTATCATTTTATAATTTTTCCTAATTGTAGTTGTGGCAAACTTTTCAGTAATTTCAAAGAACTTCTGTTTACAACAAGAGGCTCTCAAGAGCCTGAATCGCTCGCCTGTTATTTTTTTTTGCTTAAATCTTTCATCAATGATTATTTTTGCTTTTTATCCATATGTTCCATTTTAGCCATAGTGTCTATGTTTCTTGACGTACAAGGAAATGAAATATAAAATTTATACTAGATTCATTTGAGAAGATTTTTAAAGTTAAAAAACATAAAACAACTTGTGTAAAATTTTCCTTAAAGGGCAATAACTCCATAAGGGGTCAATTGACAATTTTGGTCATATAAACTTTTTTGTAGATCTTACTTTGCTGAACATTTTTGCTGTTTACAGTTTATCTTTATCTTCAATAATATTCAAGATAATAACCAAAAACTGCAAAATTTCCTTAAAACAACCAATTTAGTGGCAGCAACCCAACAATGGATTGTTCGGTGTGTCTGAAAATTTCAGGGCTGTTAGATCTTGACCTTTTGAACATTTTTACCCGATGTCAGATTTGCTCTAAATGTTTTAGTTTTGGAGATATAAGCCAAAAACTGCATTTGACCCCTATGTTCTATTTTTAGCCATGGCGGCCATGTTTGTCGATGGATTAAAACTTCGGATACAATTTATAAACTAGATATCCTAAGGAACATTTAGATGAAGTTTGAAGGTATTTGGCCTAGTAGTTTCAGAGGAGAAGATTTTTAATTGTTAGCAAACTTGATGAACAAATTGTGTAAAATTGTCTTTAATGGGCAATAACTCCTTAAGGTGTCAATTGACAATTTTGGTCATATAAACTTTTTTGTAGATCTTACTTTGCTGAACATTAGTGCTGTTTACAGTTTATATCTATCTATAATAATATTCAAGATAATAACAAAAAACTGCAAAATTTCCTCAAAACTACCAATTTAGTGGCAGCAACCCAACAATGGCTTGTTCGATTTGTCTGAAAATTTCAGGGCTGATAGATCTTGACCAATTGAACAATTTTCCCATGTCAGATTTGCTCTAAAAGCTTTAGTTTTTGAGATATAAGCAAATTACTGCATTTGACCCCTATGTTCTATTTTTAGCCATGGCGGCCATGTTTGTCGATGGATTAAAACTTCGGATACAATTTATAAACTAGATATCCTAAGGAACATTTAGATGAAGTTTGAAGGTATTTGGCTCAGTAGTTTCAGAGGAGAAGATTTTTAAATGTTAGCAAACTTGATGAACAAATTGTGTAAAATTGTCTTTAAAGGGCAATAACTCCTTAAAGGGTAAATTTACAAATTTGGTCATATAAACTTTTTTGTAGATCTTACTTTGCTGAACATTATTGCTGTTTACAGTTTATATCTATCTATAATAATATTCAAGATAATAACAAAAAAATGCAAAATTTCCTTAAAACTACCAATTTAGTGGCAGCAACCCAACAATGAGTTGTTCTATTCGTCTGAAAATTTCAGGGCTGATAGATCTTGACAAATTGAACAACATGTCAGATTTGCTCTAAAAGCTTTAGTTTTTGAGATATAAGCAAATTACTGCATTTGACCCCTATGTTCTATTTTTAGCCATGGCGGCCATGTTTGTCGATGGATCAAAACTTCGGATACAATTTATAAACTAGATACTCTAAGGAACATTTAGTTAAAGTTTGAAGGTATTTGGCCCAGTAGTTTCAGAGGAGAAGATTTTTGAAATAGTTTACGACGACGACAAGTGATGGCATAAGCTCACATGGGGCCCTTCGGGCCCCGGTGAGCTAAAAATGATAACAGTCATGCTTGATAAGCAGAGTCATTGGGCAATTTTAAACCAGGAATGAAACTGGTTAACATGCATACATCAGCTTATAGCATCTAATTCTCAAAACTTCATCACGTTTTATCCTCTTTTTTCTTATGTCTGTGTGGTAAACGAGACTTTTCTAATGTTAATGAAGATGTTAGAATTTCCATCTGTACATCTCTTTCCTTCAGCATGTCTTTTAACTTCTGTATTTCTGATGCCTGATTGTCTATCTTTGTCTGCATTTCCAGTATTATCTGAAAAAAAACAAACAAACATGAATGTAAATAAGACATAACAAATCTAATGAAATACAAAATAGGACCACAATCAAATTAAAATGCCATCCAGTTGGTTGAAATGAAATATTTGTATATCATAAATAAATTGCACAGATGATACACTTAAATGTTCTCATATTACAATATTAGAATATACCGTGAAGGTCAATGAAATCTTAAACTGAGGTCAAGGTGAACTGATAACTGTCAGATATACAGGTATCCATAATGCTTATTCATTATTGATCAATATTGCATTATTTAGAACTCAAATTCTGATTGCAATATTTGTATGCAGCATTTCCTTAATCTCACGTATATCAATTCTCAACAATGTAAATATTAAAAAGCATGCAAGCATTTCTAAATTAAATGTATATAGTATTATCAACAAATCTACATTCCAGAATAACAGTAAATTTCTCATGCATACTTACAATGGAACACCCTACACTAGTAAACTTTTAAAATGACAAAAATAAAATATGTAATCAATCCATTTGCAAAATTAATAGTAGGACTATTGCTCACCATAAAGGTAGTTCTTTTTTAAAAGCAGTCATTACAGAACAATTGTATATTTTTCTTCTATTAAAAATTAACACACATAACAAATTTTTTATAAACATTCAATTAAGTTCAGTAGTAAAAGTTATATAGTACCTGTTCCTTGGTCAAAAACAATTCACTTTGTAATAATTCCTTTGTTGTTGGTCTGTCTGAATGCACACTATTGGTCATCTGAATCACAGCTTTTGCCTGGAAGTAACAAAAAAAATTTTTTTGCAGTAACTAATTATGTCTGTGCTGTTCAATCTTAATATCACTGAAACCCAATAGTTTAAACAACAAATTCTTAATACATTGGTTATTCAAACTAAGTCTAATTCAAAGTTTGATGAAGGTAAGTACCCAAATAGAAGGAAGTCTATATTTACCCTTTAAGTTAGTTGATTTATTTTTTTGGGGTAAACTTGTCTTTTGTCTTTCTTTTTTTGAAGGGGGATGTTAAATTTAGATTTCTTCATAATTCTAAATTGTGCTTTTAAGAGAAATTACACAGTCAGATTATCAGATTTATTTTTTGGCACTTTTCAAGCCTAATTAACAACTCACTCAAAATTATGAAACATATTAAAAATGTTAGCTCACTTGTTCTGGCCAATGTTGAATGATCTGTGCATCTACTTCTCCTTGTCTCAACAATTCTAAACATTTATACTTTTCCATGTCAGTTTTAAACCAATGAAACAGTTCGTATAATATCACACCTAAACTGTATATATCACTCTGAAATTAAAAAAGTAGTTATGGTACAAATATTATCATTGATAATGAATTATTGTTTTAAGTTCCTGTTAGAAAACAACAATTTTACAATTGTTTGGCCATGTGATTTTATTTACACTTATTCATACATCACAAATAAATGCTTTTAAGATTTAAGGTACAAAAAATTGTACAGTTGGTGTCAAAACTTGTACTTAACATAAGGGTTTCTGCTGGCAGTCGCCAATTTTGCATTTTGCGAAAAAAGAAAAATTGTGGCAACTAGATATCATTGAGATGGGAGCCATCTCTATGGGCCCCGCTGTGAATAATGTGTGGTAAAAAATTTGTATCTTTATCATTGGACATGGGGTTGTCAACTGAAATCAAAATTTTTGACCTAGGAAGTTGTACATAAATTATGATACACCCTCTGGTGTTGGTTTATATACATATCAAGTATAAACTTTGAATTCATAACGTTTCTCAAGATATAGAGCGGACACGATCTTTACCATAGGACATGGGGTTGTTAACTAAAACCAAAATTTTTGACTTTGACCTTTGACCTAGGAAGTTGTACATACATTATGACACACCCTCTGGTGTTGATTAATATATATATTAAGTATAAACTTTGAAATCATAACGGTTCTCAAGATATAGAGTGGACACGATCTTTACCATAGGACATGTCAACTAAAACCAAAGTTTTTGACCTTGACCTTTGACCTAGGAAGTTGTACATACATTATATTATCTCAATTTTTACGTTTAACGATGGTCAGGAGGAGAAAACTGTGGTTTTGAAGAAAGGGTTAATAAACTGCTTCCCTGAGCGCAGCTGGATACACACGCAGAGGTCCGACCCTGAACAGTTGGGGCAAAAATGGACACAATATTCAAGCTTGATACAGGTCTGAATTTGGATTGTAATTAAATATTTGATATATTATAGGTTTCTGAATAAATGAAGTCAAAGAACTTGAAATTGGTTATATGAAAGATTTCTTGCTGTTGTGCAATACACTGTGCTGTTGCGTAATACTTAGTAAATCTGTTGTCAGACTATAAACAAATAAAATCTTATAACCCGGAAATATAAAATCGAAAATTTATAAAAATCAAAAGGGAGTTTACAAAAATAGATATAAACAATTTACCAAGGTTTCATAAAGTTATTGTCTGAAAACTGGAAAATCCCCCTTTTTGTAATGAATAAAACCCCATAAATCGGAAACGTACAGTCTGAAATTTATAAAAATCAAAAGGGAGCTCATGTCAATAGAAATAAACAATTCACCAAAGTTTCTTGCAAATTGGTGAAACTGTTTTTGAGGTATTGTCCAATAACTGAAAAATCCCACCTTTTTTAATGAATAAAACCCCAAAACTCGGAAACGGTAAATCCGAAATTTATAAAAAACGAAAGGGAGCTTGCATCAATAGATATGAACTATTCACAAAAGTTTCATGCAAATTGGTGAAATTGTTTTTGAGTTATTGTCCGAAAACTGGAAAATCCCCCCTTTTTTAATGAATAAAACCCCAAAACTTGGAAACGGTAAATCCTAAATTTATAAAAAACGAAAGGGAGCTCACGTCAATAGATATGAACATTTCACAAAAGTTTCAAGCAAATTGGTGAAATTGTTTTTCAGTTATTGTCCGAAAACTGGAAAATCCCCCCTTTTTTAATGAATAAAACCCAAAAACTCGGAAATGGTAAATCTGAAATTTATAAAAAACGAAAGGGAGCTCACGTCAATAGATATAAACAATTCACCAAAGTTTCATGCATAATGGTTAAAGAGTTTTTGAATTAATGTCCGACATGTTGACGACGGCCGGACAGACAGACGAACGGACGGACGGACGTGCGTATAAAAAGTAAGAAAAATATCTGACTTGATTCTATGTCCTTTAACTAGACAGGATGTATCCAATAAACTGATTGAAGATGAATCCTGTGTTGAGAGATGTTAAATTTTACAGTATCTTTTAAAAAATACTATCCGAAATTTTGATCTAATTGAGTGTTCATTTATTACGAATTATAATTAATGAGACAAAAATGCTGCACACTGATTTTTTTTTTGTAAGCAAAAAAGAAAACAAGTTTTAAGAAAAAATATGTTTATGTTAGTTGGTGAAAAAAAAATTGAGAGTGGTGGAAGAAAATATAATTTAAGTGAATAAGGTGGCAAAAAAAACTTTGACCCACGGGAAAGCCTGCTAAAACATGTAATTTGTTGTATATGTGTTTGAAAGATAGATTGACTGATTGATTGTTAGTTGCCTAGTCCAGTGGCAATTATTTCATGCATCTTCAGGACAAGAATAAATTAACAAATAATACAATAGGTAGGTTCTGCAAGGTGGGCCAACCAGCATGAAGGGCATCAAATTTGGACTGCAACTGGAAATGAGGATATGATAGTTCTGAGTTCAATTTTTGCCTTGAAACAGGCCACCTATGTACCTCTAACAGAGTTGCTGCAAGGGTTCTTTAACATGCAGAGAGCTAAGCACTGTCCCTACACAAGGCATTATATTCAAAGTTTCCATTCCAACCAGTGTGGCTGCTTATTTATACATCCCTAACAGTCAAATCAACGCCATATCTTAGAAAGGAATTTCCTGTCAGAAAGGGAGAGGTCCAGGTGACCATATTTCTATGCAGTGTCCACAAAGTTGTTTATCAATATAACTATTTTCTGATATTAAAGGTACATTTGAAAATCAATTTAGAAATGCAAAATATTGCACTACAAATACAGACACTTTTTTTTTACGAAAATTATTTTACGTCCCTAGCAAGCATAGAATATGACAGATTTTTATTTTTTTTTTACAGCTGAAACCACTTAAAAAAGCATATAAATCCTTGACCAAATATGTAATCAATCAACCCTTTTCAATTTATTTTCTTGTATGCATGTGATTTTACCTTATTAGTATAAACAGATCCCTGCAGTTGTTCAGGAGCTCCATATGTTGATGTTCCAACTCCAGTTGTATGTGTATCCCAATAAAATTTATCTAAAGAAAGGAATGTCAAGTTTCTTAAAAGCAAATACTATAAATTCAGAAATTTTTGCTATCGTTTTACTATTGCGAAAATTGCAACATGATAGGTGTTGCAAAAATAATAAACAGCTGCGCCATGAGCGCATGATACGCCCGTCGCATTTTCATAGAAAATTTCAATTAAAGTTCAATTATTCTCAATGTCATATCAGAAATTTATGAAAATCGAAAGGGAGCTTTTGTCAATAGATTTAAACAATTCACCAAAGTTTCATGAGAACTGCTGAAATCATTTTTGAGGTATTGTCCGAAAACTGGAAAATCCCCCCTTTTTTAATGAATAAAATACCATAACTCGAAAACGTAAAATCTAAAATTTATAAAATTCAAAAGGGAGCTTACATCAATAGATATAAACAATTCACCAAAGTTTCATGAGAACTGCTAAACGCATTTTGGAGTGATTGTCCGAAAACTATAAACTGCCCCTTTTTTTTAATGAATAAAACCCCATAACTCAGAAATGTAAAATCTAAAATTAATGAAAATAGAAAGGGAGCCCATGTCAATAGGTATAAACAATTCACCAAAATTTCTTGCAAATTGGTGAAAGCATTTTGGAGTTATTGTACGAAAACTGGAAAATCCCCCTATTTTTAATGAATAAAACCTCATAACTCGGAAACGTAAAATCTAAAATTTATAAAAAACAAAAGGGAGATCAAGTCAATAGATATAAACAATTTACCAAAGTTTTATACAAATTGGATAAAGCGTTTTTGAGTTAATGTCCGACATTTTGACGACGGACGGACAGACAGACAGACAGAGGAACAACGGTATACCATAATACGTCCCGTTAACGGGCGTATAAAAACTTGCATTTTATATCTTCAAAACATTATATTTATGCAGAGTTACCTGATATCACGATAAATTAACTCACACTTTTGTCAATTGTTCAACAATTGCAATAAACATGATAAATGCATGCAATAATTTCTTAATTTACAGTATAACATGCATCTTATTCTTTAATAATTCAATTTTGGATGTAACAAGTCTTCTGATTGGCTGAAAGTGTTTTGTCTATTAGCTCATAGACAACATTTTGTCATGTGATGGTGACGATCAACGATTTTATCATGATTTACTCCTTTTTAGAATTAAATTATAAGGAATTACTGTAATATTTTTTCTGTTTGTTCAAAATAACCTAAAAAATGTGGTGCACACTTTTAAATAACCTGCTATGCGAGTTATTCAGTGTGCACCACATTTTTTATGTTATTTCTTCATAGACAGAAAAAATATTACAATCATTCCTTAAATATGTTAGCAGAATATCTTTACCTGTCCTTACTTTCAATTATAAGTTATGATAATAAATGCTTTTATTTGTTTAAGCTTTGTTTATCAGTCTTGACCATGATAGTATTACAACTGATGGGCATTTCTAATATTTATATTTTACTTGGGATACATGTTACATACCTGGACTTTCTAATGGTGATGGTGTTAACAAAGCATCTTCTCTACCCGAATTTCTCAAATCATCTTTAGCTAAACCAAAGTCACCTATCTTTACATGAAGCTGATGACCTTGGAGAAATATATTTCTGGGCTGAAATTACAAAATACATTAAGATATTATTATTTGACCATGATCTCCCTGATAACAAAAAGATGATTGATATTCATCTGGAAGACTGGAACATAGGGTGCACTAATATTGAGGAATATTGCCACTAGCATTATATCATTATGCCCCAGCTTGTGAGTTCAATAGTATATACTGTGGGAGCAATATTCGTCAATTTTAGTGCAACATCCCTTTTATAATATAGCATCACACATTTCAGCAAATTGATGATACCTCATCCAATTCCTGCTCTGATACCTGCAGTATGGAAGCAATGACCATTTCTGTCTTCTTACTAATTTCTCTTCTGTTTGCATGCAAACAATGCTTTACTTGGAACCTCTTGGAAAGTGCATACAACACTTTTAAGGAGAAAATATGGAATGCAATATTTTTAACTCATCAGAAATGCAAAGAATCCAGTGATACATGTATTCATTTTTTAATAGTATGATTAAAAATTGGTACATGTACATGCTATAACTGGGATACTTAATAGAACAATAAGGAAAACAGATGCTTCAATGCATACATTTTGATTTTTTGTGCCTGTACCAAATCAGAATATCTGTTCATTGTCCTCTAGTTTGTGTGGCATTTAAATAAAATATAATCAAATGTTTCATGAGGAATTATGCTTGTTTGGTAAAATTAAAATGATAAAAATAGTTAAGATATGTGTATGTATCAAAACATGTCCCTCCTTTGGAGCAGAAGTATAGTAAAACTGATTCCTTTATTTGCACTTCCTTTCAGATCTCTATGTATCAGACCATTGGAATGAATAAAGTCTACTCCTTTGTTTACACTTACTTTCAGATCTCTATGTATCAGACCATTTGAGTAAATAAAGTCTACTCCTTTGTTTACACTTACTTTCAGTTCTCTATATATCAGACCATTGGAGTATATAAAGTCTACTCCTTTGTTTACACTTACTTTCAGTTCTCTATATATCAGAACATTAGAGTATATAAAGTCTACTCCTTTGTTTACACTTATTTTCAGATCTCTATGTATCAGACCATTGGAATGAATAAAGTCTACTCCTTTGTTTACACTTACTTTCAGATCTCTATGTATCAGACCATTGGAATGAATAAAGTCTACTCCTTTGTTTACACTTACTTTCAAATCTCCATGTATCAGACCATTGGAATGAATAAAGTCTACTCCTTTGTTTACACTTACTTTCAGATCTCTATGTATCAGACCATTTGAGTGAATAAAGTCTACTCCTTTGTTTACACTTACTTTCAGTTCTCTATGTATCAGACCATTTGAGTAAATAAAGTCTACTCCTTTGTTTACACTTACTTTCAGTTCTCTATATATCAGACCATTGGAGTATATAAAGTCTACTCCTTTGTTTACACTTACTTTCAGTTCTCTATATATCAGACCATTGGAGTATATAAAGTCTACTCCTTTGTTTACACTTATTTTCAGATCTCTATGTATCAGACCATTGGAATGAATAAAGTCTACTCCTTTGTTTACACTTACTTTCAGATCTCTATGTATCAGACCATTGGAATGAATAAAGTCTACTCCTTTGTTTACACTTACTTTCAGATCTCTATGTATCAGACCATTTGAGTGAATAAAGTCTACTCCTTTGTTTACACTTACTTTCAGTTCTCTATGTATCAGACCATTTGAGTAAATAAAGTCTACTCCTTTGTTTACACTTACTTTCAGTTCTCTATATATCAGACCATTGGAGTATATAAAGTCTACTCCTTTGTTTACACTTACTTTCAGTTCTCTATATATCAGACCATTGGAGTATATAAAGTCTACTCCTTTGTTTACACTTATTTTCAGATCTCTATGTATCAGACCATTGGAATGAATAAAGTCTACTCCTTTGTTTACACTTACTTTCAGATCTCTATGTATCAGACCATTGGAATGAATAAAGTCTACTCCTTTGTTTACACTTACTTTCAGATCTCTATGTATCAGACCATTGGAATGAATAAAGTCTACTCCTTTGTTTACACTTACTTTCAAATCTCCATGTATCAGACCATTGGAATGAATAAAGTCTACTCCTTTGTTTACACTTACTTTCAGATCTCTATGTATCAGACCATTTGAGTGAATAAAGTCTACTCCTTTGTTTACACTTACTTTCAGATCGCTGTGTATCAGACCATTGGAATGAATAAAGTCTACTGCTATGTTTACACTTACTTTCAGATCTCTGTGTACCAGACCGCTGGAATGAATAAAGTCTACTCCTTTTTTACACTTACTTTCAGATCTCTATGTATCAGATAATTGGAATAAATAAAGTCTACTCCTTTGTTTACACTTACTTTAAGATCTCTATGTATCAGATCATTGGAATGAATAAAGTCTACTCCTTTGTTTACGCTTACTTTAAGATCTCTATGTATCAGATCATTGGAATAAATAAAGTCTACTCCTTTGTTTACACTTACTTTCAGATCTCTATGTATCAGACCTTTGGAATGAATAAAGTCTACTCCTTTGTTTACACTTACTTTCAGATCTCTATGTATTAGACCATTGGAATGAATAAAGTCTACTCCTTTAACCAACTGTTTAAATATCCTCATGTTAGCTGCTGCATTTGTCTTGAATTCTGAAATAAAATAGTTCACAATAATTATTTACTTCTTGATATTCACTAATTTGAACAACTAAAAGAGGTGGAAGATACTAAAGGGATATTCAATAGATATTCAAAATCATAATGTTACATAAATTGATGACAATCTGGCTCATCATGGCAAAAAAACAACCAAAAAGATAAACAACAGTATAGAAAACACATTCTGCCTGTCCCAAGTCAGCAGCATGTAATTCAGTGGTTGTCGTTGGTTCATGTCGGTCATATTAGTTTTTCGTAAATTTTATTGTTATAAATAAGGCTGTTTTATTTCTCACTTGATTTGTTTCACCTTTTTCATGTTGGGGTCTTTTATAGCTGACTATATGGTATTGGTTTTTCTCATTGTTGAAGGCTGTACAGTCATCTATAATTGCTTACATCCACATCATTTGAACTCTGGTGGATAGTGTTCTCAATGGAAAACATACTACATCTCCTTATTTTTACATACAACATAGAAAACTAAAGACTGAGCAACACAAACCCCATAAAAATAAAATGCTCCGCTGGGCACAGCTTGATACGACCGCAGAGGTCGAACCCTTAACAGTTGGGGCAAGTATGGACACAACATTCAAGCTTGATACAGCACTGAATTTGGATTGTGATTAAATATTTGACACAGCATAGGTTTCTGACACAGAATGAATGTGGTCTAAGAACTTAAAAATTTTTAATTTACTTATTCAAACCATATCATTATTATTTGCTTTTTTGATATAAATCAGAAATAACCAATTTAAAATGGAAAATTTTAAAGAAAAAAAAAGGGGAAAAAATCCCCCCTCAAATTTTTTGAACCCCTTTATGATTCATCACCCCCAAACTCAATCCAAGCCTTCCCTTTGTGATACAATGTATGGTGCCTTGCAGTACAATTTCAAAGAGATCCGTACACTTGAACACAAGTTATTGTCTGGAAACTAGAAAAATACTTGTTTTTTTGTCCCTTTTTGGCCCCAAATTCCTAAACGTTTAGGGCAATTACCCCCAAACTCAAACCCAGCTTTCCCTTTATGATATGGAACCTTGTTGTACAATTTCATAAAGATCCATACACTTACACACAAGTTATTGTCCTGAAACTAGAAAAATGCTTGTTTTTTTCCCCTTTTTGGCCCCTAAATCCTAAAGTTTTGGGGCAATTACCCCCAAAATCAATCCTAGCCTTCCTCTTGTGGTTAGGTACCTTGCAGTACAATTTCAGAGAGATTCATACACTTGAACACAAGTTATTGTCTGGAAACTAGAAAAATGCTTATTTTTGGCCCCCTATTCCTAAACGTTTTGGGCAATTACCCCCAAACTCAATTCTAGCTTTCCCTTTGTGATATGGAACCTTGTAGTACAATTTCAGAAAGATCCATACACTTACACACAAGTTATTGTCATGAAACTAGAAAAATGCTTGTTTTTTGCCCCTTTTTTGGCCCCTAATTCCTAAAATTTTGAGGCAATTACCCCCAATATCAATCCCAGCATTCCCTTTGTGATATGGAATCTTGTGGTACAATGTCAGAGAGATCCGTACACTAACACACAAGTTATGTCTGGAAGTTACAAAAATGCCCTTTTTGGCCCCTAATTCCTTAACTGTTGGTACCATAACCCCCAAAATCAATCCCAACCTTCCTTTTGTGGTATTGAACCTTATGGTAAAATTTCATAGAGCTCCATTCACTTAAACTAAAGTTAGAGTGCGAAAACCAATGTGTCTTCTGACGACGACGCCAACGTCATACCAATATAGGACCACAAAAATTTTTTTGCGGTTGTTTTTTTTTCTTTGCAAAAGTATTTATGCCGAATTGAAAACCACATTTTCAGTAAATTACTCCTTTCATTGAACAAACAAAAGTTTGTATGAAAATTTTCTTGTTAATGTCTGTTATGAGGCCTGAAATTAATTGGATCTAACTCCATGCATTTTCTGTCTTACATTTGAAATAAGTCTAAAAATTATTGTGTCAAGACATGCTCTAATGATGCACAACAGTTATCATTGATCATTAAAAAAATGAAATCACAGAAATTCACTTTAAAAAGACAACAGAAAAAAAACTGATGCCATTATACATAATCCTTACCAAGAAAAGAAGAGCATTGAGTATTTCTTTTCTGCATGTATTCCCTGAGTGTCAGACTACATAATTCCATTTGTATAAACAATGTTACATGAATCTGAAAATAAAAAAAAATAAGGTCTGCGTTAGAATAAACTGTTGTCACAGAGATATGTCTCGCTTTTTGCAATTTTGATAGTTATCGCAAATGTTGAAATAAAAATGTCAATATTTATACATGTAAACTATGCAAAACATTCAAAGTCAATAAATCATGACTGAAAGGCAAATAACCTCCATGGAAATGAGAAATCCCAATGTTTATAAAACAGCATACCAAATATCATTAACTTATCATCAGTGGTTCCCTTTAAACTAACCTAAACACAAACTTTAACTTGTTAACTATGCAAAAGTTTCAAAGTCAAAGAACCTTTAAGATTTGGCAAGGTCATATATTCTTATTTGAATTGAGACTTGCAAATGCTTATACACCAGCAAACGAAATATTATTGACCTAACATTAGTGATTCATCTGAAACTGATCTGATCACAAATTTTAACCTGTAAACTATGCAAAAGTTTCAAAGTCAATGAACCATGATGAAAAAAAAGGGGGGGGATCTCCATGGAAATGAGATGTGCATATACTTCACATTACACATAGTCTAAAGAACCTTTACTACATAACTTTTAATGAAATGTATGTAAACTTTACACTTAATACTTGGGAATGTTTATTATAGAAGCTATTTCACAGAATTTTTCATCTTTACAATAAAATCAAACATGTTTTAAAATAATCTCATTAATTACCTGTATAATGAATCTAACTAACCATGAATGAAACAATGATAAAAAATCTTGGTTTTTACTTCTGAGCAAATAAACAGTATTGATTTTCTAAAAAGGTTAATATATGAGACTTGGTTCAGTTATTTTTGTCATTTGATGTACAGAATTTGTTTTTAATTAATTTGTCCTCTACTTTCACTGAAAATTTCAAGAACGAAAAATAAAAGGGATGTGATATAAATCATATGACTTACTTTGGTATTATGAATCATGTGACTTACTTTGGTGATCTCCAGGGAAAAATAAAAGGGGTGATATAAATCATATGACTTACTTTGTTGATATTAATCATGTGACTTACTTTGGAATGTATGTTATCTTCACTGTAATGATGGTAGCCTAACATAACCTGTTTATTATGTAAATTGTCATGTGACTTGTTTTGTAGATATAAATCATGTGACTTAATACTTTGGTTATATAAATCATGTGACTTACTTTGGAATGGATGTTGTCTTCACTGTAATGATGGTAGCCTAACATAACCTGTTTATTATGTAAATGGTCATGTGACTTGTTTCTACATGTAATACAATCACAGCTCATACTTCTCCTAATTCTACCGGGTTTATCCCAGAAGGTATCAATATGTGATACATCGTCCCATGCTCGTCCACAATGACTTGTCTTTTCATTAAACTCAGATTCAAAGAATTTTGAAGTACAGCTATGTTTTGGAACAGTTTTATGAAGAATTTTATCCCCGCTTCCACTGTTTGTGTATTTACTTTCTTTGCCTCTGAGTATTTCACAAGCTTCACAGTATTCAGACTGTGACATCATTTCAACTGGTTCCAATCCGTCAGTTAATTCAACCAGTTTAGGTAGGCTACTGTGGTTGTTGTCCATTGAAAAGTCATTGTCAAATTTAACATGAGAATCAAATATAATGCTGTCACCAACATCTGTAGACTTGGAATGATTCATTCTGTAAATAAATGGAAACACATGCTGAAGTAGCATTAAGTACTTGTTTTGGTTCTGTAAAAGCAAGAAATATAAAACAAACACCTAAATTCCTATCTATAGTATTAATTTTCTACTGCATTATACAAAATCATTAATGTTAAAACCACTGGTATATCAAATGTTGGTATAACAATTATCTGAATGTCTGGGTTTTGTTCTGATCTTCAAGAACAAATATTTAGGGTTAAAACAAATCATGAACAGCAAAATTGTCAAATGAGAAAATGTGTCCTTATCCCATCATGGCACAACAATTCAAACTACATAATAATCAGAAACTTAAGTTTATAAATTTTAGAGCATGTTTGGAGTTCAACTTCTTCCAAATCAACATGGTCTCATCTAAAATATAAGCAAATTATAAAACTTAAAGCTGGTTTGAAGTATATATAATGTAAAGTTCTTTGTTTTTACAATCCTGAAAAATAAAATGCTCCGCTGGGCGCAGCTTGATACGACCGCAGAGGTTGAACCCTAAACAGTTGGGGCAAGTATGGACACAAAATTCAAGCTTGATACAGCTCTGAATTTGGATTGTGATTAATATTTGACACAGCATAGGTTTCTGACACAGAATGAATGTGGTCTAAGAACTTAAAATTTTTCAATTTACCTATTATGGTCCAATATCCAAAATCTAAATACATGGTTAGATTTAGCATATCAAAGAATCCAAAGAATTCAATTTTTGATGAAATCAAACAAAGTTTAAATTTGGACCCTTTTGACCTCAATGTGGACTAATTTGATAACGGGCCCAAAAATCAAAATACATGGTTAGATTCAGCATATCAAAGAACCCCATATATTCAAGTTTTGTTGAAATCAAACAAAGTTTAATTTTAGACCCGAAATTGGACCAACTTGAATTCTGGGCCCAAAATCAAAAATCTAAACACGTTTAGATTCAGCATATCAAAGAACCCCAAGAATTCAATTTTTGTTAAAATCAAACTAAGTTTCATTTTGGACCCTTTGGACCTTAATGTAGACCAATTTAAATAAAAACAGGACCCAAATTTAAAAATCTAAATACACGGTTAGATTTGGCATATCAAAGAACCCCAATAATTCAATTTTTGATGAAATCAAACAAAGTTTAATTTTGGACCCTTTTGACCTCAATATGAACCAATTTGATAGCAGGGCCCACAAATAAAAAATCTAAATACATGGTTAGATTCAGCATATCAAAGAACCCCATCTATTCAATTTTTGTTGAAATCAAACAAAGTTTAATTTTGGACCCCAATTTGGACCAACTTGAAAACTGGGCCCAAAATCAAAAGTTTAAATACATGTTTAGATTCAGCATATCAAAGGACCCCATATATTCAATTTTTGTTAAAATCAAACTAAGTTTAATTTTGGACCCTTTGGACCTTAATGTAGACCAATTTGAAAACTGGACCCAAATTTAAAAATCTAAATACACAGTTAGATTTGGCATAACAAAGAAATAAATGTGGTCAAAGATTTTACAAATCTAATGCGCCATACTGTGCAATTAAAGATTACTTCTTGAAATTTTTCAATATTTGAAATTTGTAAAAAAATAATATTTGAAGAATAATTCTTTTTAATTTCTGAAATCTGAAATGAGAAAAAATTGACCCCCCCCCCCCCCCCCCCACAACTTTTTTCACCCCCAAAAAATTCTTTCCCTCAAGATATGGTCATAATCTCAATTCAAATTTCCAATGGAGTTTGCAACCAAAAGTTCCCATTTAAATTTACCATAGTGCTAACTTAATCTATTTTATAATAGCATTTAAAATATGGTGTCAAATCTTTCATATGGATTTTTTGGTAAAAAAAAAAGATGCAACATTTGCAGATATTTTTACTGGTCTTCCTTTATAAATATGCATTTCTTTAAACATAATTTAAAAGCAGTGTAAGGGAAGTAATCAACACATTGTATTTGGATTACCTCCCTTACACTGCTTTTAAATTGTCTTAATTGTTCATTAACCAAAATTTAAAAGCAGTGTAAGGGAGGTAATTCAAATGATGTATTTGATTTATCTCCCTTACACTGATTTAAATTATGTTTTGTACTAAAGTATTTGTCCATTAACCAGGAAAACCTTGTTTTTCCCCCTTTTTGCCCCTAATTCCTAAACGGTTTGAGCCATAACCCCCCAAAGCAAATCCTAACCATCCCTTTGTGGTATGGAAACTTGTGGTACAATGTCAGAGAGATCCATACACTAACACACAAGTTATTGTCTGGAAGTTACAAAAATGCTTATTTTTGGCCCCTAATTCCTTAACAGTTGGTACCATAACCCCCAAAATCAATGCCAACCTTTCTTTTGGGGTATTTAACCTTATGGTAAAATTTCAAAGAGATCCATTCACTTAAGCTAAAGTTATTGTGCGAAAACCAATGTGTCTTCGGACGACGATGACGCCAACGTCATACCAATATACGACCGCAAAAATTTTTGCGTTTGTATAAAAAGTACCTGCCTGTGTGATCTACTTTAAGATCATATCCCCTTAGGGTCTAAGAGGAAACAAAGATATGTTAATTGTGACCTAAGTTCATACTTTGTCGTCTTTATTCTATCTTTTATATAAACAATTCTACCTTACTGACAATAAACTACTTGGTAGTACCTGCTATCTCTGCTGGAAATACTGTCATCTGAAGATACAACTTTAGTGCCAGGAATATCTATAAATATGTAATTATATATACTAATACCAATGTACTGTAAATTCAGAAATTATTGTGATGTTTTAATTAATTCGAAAAATGTCATATTACTAGGTTTGCAATAATAAAAAGATGAATTCATAATTTCAGCAGTAATATTCCTTCAAAAAAATGTTGCGATCGCAATCACTATATTTCAGAGGTCACAGATAAAAAATAATAAATGCACACATTAATTTCTAAATTTACAGTAATATACACGGATAAACTAGTAGAAAAAGGCCCATTATTTTGATGATTAACTTACTGGAAATTACTAAAAAAAAAGAAAATTTAAGTTTGGTAAAAGTTTACCATATGGCATAGGTATTAAAAAGTCACTAGCAGACTTTAATAATTGGTGACACAGTGACTGACTAACAGGGGTATGTGGGGTCCATGCAATATGTGAAAAAAGTTGTTCATAACATTACAACTTTGCTGGCACCTTGCCATATACATTTTTTTTCCCAATGCATTTATATGCATTCTTATAAAATCCTTTCGGTCAACACATTTCAATTTTTTACTAACATTAATATGGGTCAGATATATCTATAATGGTACAAATGTTTGTAAGCACTGCTGCTGTCTTACTATATAAACAGTTTGTAAATTTAGACTTATCTTCTATTCATTTAATATCAAAATCATTATCCATAAGTATACAGTATAATGTATGACTCTCATTATATGAGGCTACTCTCATGGGAAGATGATGGAAATCCTGCAACCCATTAGTATATGCAAGGTTTGGTCGTCTTTCATTTAAGAAATATTCTCCAGGGAAACTTACTCTTAAAAGTCTTGCATTTTTAATATTGTTTCTAGCATCTTACCAGGTCTAAAGTCTGTTGAATACTCCAACCATGCAGCATTATATCCTACTATGTTAGGGTGCTGAAGATTGGCTAAAGCTTTCACTTCTCGCAATACCTATAACATATATTATGTATAGTGATAACAAGGATCCGGAAATTTTCCCTAGTCATTTCGGTCATTTTTTTTTGTTATGTAATAATGGCCCAAGACCACAATTAATGATCCCGCTTTTCGTTGTCCACGAATATAGTTCCTTTTAATTAGAGTGTATTTTTTCTTAATTTTTTTTCTTTCCCTTCCTCACTCATTTCTTAGTTTTTTTTGGGTGGAAATAAAAGAAGAGAGGTGAAATAATCTTTTAGATGTTGTATTTTAACTGATTTTGATATGGAAAGAGTGATTAGGCCAGGTGCAAAAAGGTGATATTTACAGTTTTCGGAACATCTCTTGACTTGTCCATAGGGGTATGGATGTGTATTGGCTAAATTTGTAAGAGTCATTGGTTCAATCTTTCTGAATTTTGGATATATTTTTGGACTAGAACTATACATTATACACACAAAAGATTTGACAAAAATGCAAGGTGCAATTTTTTTAATGAAACAAAACGTTATAAAGAACTAATAGGGGAATTTAATTGTGGTCTGTGGCCTAAGAGGTGAATTCAGGAAATATTGAATTTGTACTTTGACAACTTCCCTGAATGATCTATTGGTATTAATTTGTCAAACTACATGAGAATAAATGATTTCCACTTTTATTTGATAGAAATTTTGTAAAAAAGTGACATTTCAGCCTACATGCCCAAAATTGAACTTTTTCAGTTGTTTCAATATTTTTACAAAAGTAGCATGCTTACTTTCTCTCTGACAGATTTTTCTGGTTTTCTATTTGTGTTTGTGGTATCTAATGTAGATGTTTAACTCATTTTTGAACACTGAACACAAAAAAAAGTAGATAAAAATCAGAATAAGAGTGCAAAATGTGCTGCTTTAATGGTCTTAGTCATACGGTCAGTATGAAGCAAGTGAAAAATGAGGTTCTATGCACATACAAGTTGAATTCCTTTTAGCAGATTTCACTGAATCTGTATCAAAAGCACTTATTACTGGTTGTTTGAACTTGTCTGTTTCACAGACTTCCTTTATTTTCTTTTGTTTGATAGCTAGTGGTTAAAATATTGGCCTTTTGAGGCTGAAATTTCATGCCGGTTTTAAAAAGTAAAGTAAATAACTTTGCATCAAATCATACTGTCTACATATATAGTTGAAAGTGACAGTCATGTTACATCCAGGCTCCATGTTTTATCATATCTAAACAAAGATTTGAGCAAAAAGAAGCATATCTCTATCTACCATATCATTTATATGCTTTTTAATATGCAAATGTGGGGAACGACCTAAATTGACAACCTGTTTTTTTAAGCTTGACATTGCTGAAGACCATTTTATTCACATGTGTTATGCTATTTGAAACTTATATTTCCATTAAAAGTACATTTATAACATGTAAAAGGTGTTTTTATAACTTAACAACTTCAGAAAATTGTGGTAAGTGAAAAATATTACATTTCATATAAGGCCTCGATTCATTTGAAAACCTCTATTTTTTGGCACAGGCTCATATAAAATTTACTTCTGGCCATTTTCTATAAGTCTGAAACATGAAGTATGCTATCTGTTGCTTTTAATAGGTGATAACTTATACATAGAAACATTAAAAAATGTAAGTTTTGGTATATTTTGGTTTTTAGAAGCCCAAATTTGATAGTTGAAATTGTTCTAATTCAACGCCACAATTCAGCACCCAAAGTTCAGATATAAAAAATGCCACATTTTTTATAATTGGTATCATATGGCTTTGAAACTTTGTAAACTGTTTTATAATACACTAAGCTTAAATCATGCCAAGTTTTATTAGAATTGGTCAAGTTTTAGACCCCTAATAGGCCCAAGACCACAATTAATGATCCCGCTTTTCGTTGTCCACGAATATAGTTCCTTTTAATTAGAGTGTATTTTTTCTTAATTTTTTTTCTTTCCCTTCCTCACTCATTTCTTAGTTTTTTTTGGGTGGAAATAAAAGAAGAGAGGTGAAATAATCTTTTGGATGTTGTATTTTAACTGATTTTGATATGGAAAGAGTGATTAGGCCAGGTGCAAAAAGGTGATATTTACAGTTTTCGGAACATCTCTTGACTTGTCCATAGGGGTATGGATGTGTATTGGCTAAATTTGTAAGAGTCATTGGTTCAATCTTTCTGAATTTTGGATATATTTTTGGACTAGAACTATACATTACACACACAAAAGATTTGACAAAAATGCAAGGTGCAATTTTTTTAATGAAACAAAACGTTATAAAGAACTAATAGGGGAATTTAATTGTGGTCTGTGGCCATCGTGATGCACAATAATGCATTTTTCTGAGGGTGACAAGTCTTGCACATGGACAAGTAAAGTCCTTTTTGTGAAGTATTGGGTCAAACAAGTGTAACTGTACCTTGATCTAACAGTAACAGTGATGTCTCTGAGTTAGAAACTACACGAGGAGACGTTTTGTTGTTGTGTATTGCATCACTGAGGTCATATGCATAACCCTTTAAATTTGCATAAATTAAAAGAGGAACAATTACGGCATGTTTCATCATTTTGAAATAAAGTTATGTAAACCAATTAATAAACTGTGTTGAGTTTCTTATTGCATGTACAAGATATCGTTTGTATTGTTCAAATTGCTGCTGTTTGGATGAGTGTAAGTGATTACCTAATACACAACAAGATAATGTGTATTCACCTGGTTTACGATATGAGGATCAAAAAGGGGAAACTATGATTCAACTTTTCTTTGAATAAATAACTCAAGTCTGGTATAGTGATAACAATTGAATTTAATAATAAAATTCATGATTTTAAATAAATAAATAATTTATCTGAACAGAAGTTTGTACACAATTACAACAATTCAATGAAAAACAATTGCATTGTAATACTCTAGGAATGACAGTCTATAAATAGTCAATACACATAGCAGTCTATCAATGGTAACACAAATACACAGAGTCAATATAAGTCTATCTAATGTTCATAAGCTTAGAGAAAGCATTCTGTTTGTTGTTTTGGTACACTTGTCTTTGACGGTTAGACTGCCACTGAAGGAGTGCCGGTTTTGGGTCAAAGTCTTTGACAGAAACACCCACTAATCCTATGCGCATCAGCTGATCCAAAGTGTAGGTGCTGGTCTTGCATCGGAGCTTTGTCTTTATAAGGTTTTGCCTAGAAAACCCACGCTCACACTCTACACTAGAAACTGGTAGGACACTGGCGATCTCAATTAAGCTTACAATGTTAACAAATTGGTCTTTCATTAGTGTCACTTCTGTAAGTAGCTCAGCAGGGCTCAGATGTCTAAAGTTGTTGAAAATTATATACTTGATTGTACTCCATTCTTGTAAGGTGGTGTCTTTGTCAAAGCTGGTGTAATGACTAGTCAGTGTGGACAGTTGACTGGTTCCGTAGTGGGGTAAGTCGGAAATGTTGACTGGAAAGGAGGCTGGTTCGAATATAGTGAAGGCCTCAAATATCTTCTAGTCTGGAAATCTGTCTTTTATGTTGTCAGTAAGAGTTGATACCAGATGAACAACTTTGTCAGGAAGGTGGGCATCTCTTGGTGAGCGGCTGAAGTCGATACCTTTGAAGTTCTCTTGTTCAGTTGTTGCTAGGATGAACTGAGACAGAAGTGGCCCAAAAGATGGTTGGTCAGTGAGGTGCTCGGCTGATAAGGCAGTCAGGAACCCATCAACTTGTAGTCGGACGGTGCTGTAAGATAGCTCTCTCTGTTGCAGTGCCTTACTAAGGATGTTGATCTTGCTGAAGATATCACTCAGGAAGTGGAGCAGGAAGAGGAACTTGTAGGATGTCATGTGATGCACCATGGAACTTGCTACTATATCACTGTCACCTTGGTCTGATACCATATGGACTATCGAAACTAGGGATCTTCTTAAGTTGTCTAATGCATGGCCCATAGATAACCATCGGACTTTGTGGACATCTAGTGGATTCAGCTGTTGGTCGTCTAGGATTGTTTGCCATGTACGGAGCTCTGACAGGTTGGATGGTGACCTCTTGAAATATGTGTAGACTGTTTTGATGATGCTCTCTATAAATTTGATTTCTGGAATCTCTTTGGATAGGTCAACACATGCTAGGGCTAGACGATGAGCAACACAGTGCATCTCTATCAGATATGGACTGTTCTCTTTTAGGAGCTGGGATACACCAGTGTGTTTACCGATCATGACAGCTGCACCATCGGATCCCATACCGTACAGCTTGGAAAGGTCAACATCATTTGCTTGCAGGTAGGCTATAAGTTGGCTGGTTATGGCAACACTGTCGCAGGCAGTCAGGTTTATCAATTTGGAGTAAGCGATCTTAAGTTTGGCATCTTTCAAATAGCTGAGGTACAATATCAAGTGTTTCTGTGTAGATAGGTCGGTGGACTCGTCTATCATTATAGAGAACGCTGGACTGTCTTTTACATCTTGCAAAACGGTCTGCTCAATCTGGGAGGAAATAATTTTGATGAATTCAGAGCAAGCTGTATCTTCTTGGTACATTGTCGATGTTATAGGTGCTCCATTCATCTTGGACAGCTCATTCAGGGACTGGTACTTGTCGATAGGTAAATTTTCTTTGGCAATGTAGTAAGCATTTCTAAACAGTGTTGTCATGGCATCATCTGTTTTTTCATACACCTTCTCTACCATCGTCTTAAGTTTGTTGTCTTTGGCTGCTTCATCAGACTTTAAGGATTGAACATGATCATTAGAACTTGCATGGTCTACTAAGGTGGACTTTCTGAAGTTGCAGGCCCCGGGATATACAAAATTGTTTTTCTTTTTGTGTTTCTGGCAGATGGTGCAGAACATGGCATTACGTATACTGTCAAAGGTAAGCCATGCGAACAACTGCAACCATTTGGCATTGAAAGATCTGGCATTTTTGGCAGGTTTCTGGTTTTCATCTCAGTGTTCTCCCCAGGCCCTTAAAGGACCGCGGACCCGCGATGTATAATTTTTTACCGTGGTGGTATCGTTCTTACCGCGATGTATAATTTTTCTCCGTGGTGCTAAAATTTTCAGTTAAAAAATCGTAAATCGGTAAAGTTTTAAACGACTTGTTAAATCTTTTCCGTGCGGTATAAAATTCCAGGTGAAATTTGACCAGTTCAAACCAGTTCAACACAGATTGTTTACACCACGTGATCGATTTACCTTATGAGGTTAACCTTGTTGATTGGATTTAATCGATGTAATTAACACTTGTAAAATGATTCTTTTGTGTTTTAATTAAGAGTTCATAACTTTATGATCACAGATAACTATTTTATGGCTTCACTCTCCACTCAGATGATCTGACGACTCTCTTTTACGCTTATTCATTGTTGGAACTTATTATGAATTTATATTTAATATTCAAAGCTTTTATACCAGCAAAAAAAATCTTGAAACAATTAAAGAAAAACGCCCATGAATTCTGTTGGTCTTTACAGAGAGAATGTATGGCTTCACTTGGGTAAAAATCGGAAGTATAGCCAGGAAAACAAAAGAAAGGATAACGCCCATTACATACTGTGAGTAAGATGGTTTCAAAAAATCGGAAGTGCAAAAAAAACAAAAAAAAAACGAGATTGTTCATTCGCTGAGTATATTTCATAAATAGGCTGTATGGCTTCAAATCTAAATTACGTTATTTAGTTTTAATTCCTTTTTTAAACATTTTTTTTTAATTCTGCATTCCTATAAATTATAGGCTTTACCACTTTTGCAAATCTATTAATATCTTTATCTGCCATTTCCTACCGAAAAGTTAAATAAGATTATCAATTAACCCATGTTGATCCCCATTTTCCATGCGCAAACTCAGTAAACATAAACTATATTTAACAAACGTTGACCAAATCAGCTGATCGATTATAAATGGATTATATGTTTTATTTGGATAAAAATAGACAGATTCTCGAGTCAACAGTGTTATTTGTCTTCTTTATTGAATAAAATAATATCTGTTTGGGAAAATCTAGGTCAGAATGGTTAAAACGTTAAATTTGATGCACAGCAAATCGCCATATTGTTTTTATTGCTTAACAGGTGTTTACAGGTGAGATTTGTGTACATGGCCTTTATGGCTTTAATCAAGACAATAACGACACCCAAGCCGAATTCAAACTTCCTGGACATTGATTACTATCCTCAAGTGGTGATAATTACTATGTAAACAAACCTAGTGGCTTGAACCCAGACTTACCCCACGCTGTGACTCGACAGAGTCCTGTACATTGTTTTCACTTACATTATAGAATAAACAACAGACTAATGATAAATATTATTAAATCACTACCACAAATCAAAAAAATTTTTATTTTGTCTCAAACAAATCTATTTTTCTTGATGACCTGAAAACAAAAATAAGTTCAAAATGGCGACCGATCAAACCCTGATCTCAATGAAATGACCGAAATTATTTCTGTAAAAAAAAAAAAAAAGACCTAAATCCCAATAAATCATTTCGGTCTTTTCAGTTTCCAAATCGGTCATGTCTGGCATATATGACCGTTTCCGGACCCTTGAGTGATAATATATTGATTTATAATACAAATAACCTAATAACATGATTTCCCAAGGAGTTTCAATTGGAACAATCATTGCCTGTGATGTTTACAACATGCTCATGATGAGGGTCTTCAAAAATTTTTGCTGTAGAGTTTCAATATACCTAAAGAGGAAAAGATTTTGGATAATGGGCTAATTAGAATCACATTACCCTGTCATAAATGTTTTCCATTAAAATTAAATTAGCATTATTTATAACAGACCTTCCATATATCATTCTTGCCATGATGAGTTTAAATAGGCCTAGTGTTATATGAGATGAACAAGTGATTTAGCTTACAGGCCCTAGAATTTAAACAGAAATCTAGAATTGCATGTGGATTTTCATATCACATGATTAAAATATGCTTTTACTACAATTGGTGTCAGATGTGTATTCGCAGTGTCTCGTTATCACCACACTAACAATTTGCCACCTCCAATCTTTTAAAAAAATTAATATTTCATTAAATTCAGTAATTCTTTTATTATATTTATTTTGCAATTCTATCAAGCTAAAATCATTAAGACATGTTTATCCCATCCCAATAAAGAAATTAGCATGTAATAAAAAAACTTATATATTATGGCTGCATAGTTGATAAAATCTTTTTAAAAGTATTGCAATTTAGTAAAAACCTACCAAAGGGAGACAATTCAAACTTAATTTAAATGCTTTAATCAACTTAAAGGGAAAGGTAGAATCAAGTTGTTAATCTGTGTAAAATATCTTTTTGGGTAAAGCTGTTGCTCATGTATATGTTTTGACAAAACGCTTTAAGTGAATTGAATCAAACCAAAGATTCAAAATTAGTAGCATTTACTAATCCGCTCAGAGTTTTTCTGCATCCTTGGGAGCTAGCCCTTTAAAATCAAGAGTTTATTTGTGTTTTTTTACTCCATATCTGTCCGGTGGAAAAGTTTGTATAGAATTCTGAACACTAAGTGCTGATATTAGGTTTTTGATCTTTCAATTGATAAGCTTATGAAGATTACCTTCATCCAGACATCTGGTTGTGAATGCTTGAACTTTATCTTTTTTATGGCATATAATCTTCCATCTAATTTATGCTTTGCCTGTAAAAAAGAGAGGAGAGCTAATTTAAGAAATACATCTAAACAATATAAACCACTCTCTAACTGTCCTTCCAAACAATTAAAAAGCACAACAAAACTTATGTGTAACATGAACACTTAATTGTATGTAAAAAATAAAAGTGTGCATTTTTAAAAATAATGAATCAACAGAACTTTCCAATTTCTTAAATCAACTGTAATCTCTTATATATTTCTCCATTCATATCTATATTATCTAAATTAAAGATTGAGAGGAAATTTGAGCAAAAGGTCATTATTTGCTTTTTCTATACACCTTCCCACTTTTTGAAAACCGTAGTAATTCTTCAAGATTCTTTGTAAATTTTCCTCTTTCTTGAAAGAAATTTTAAGAATATGTACCTCTATCACTAAAGTCTGTTTTCCCAATCACTGATTATTTAGAATAATATTCTAAAATATTTCAAAAGTACTTCATGATTATCTTCCACCAAAAAATAATCACATGGTACATGTACATTTTGCTGTATTAGTTATGACAATCTAAGACTTGACAAACTCTCAAATTATGTAAAGTTAGTGTCACATTCAAAACAGCTATACTATACCTTGTACACAGATCCAAAGCCTCCTTTGCCAATCTTTTCTTCATCTGTGAACTCTGTTTTATACCGGGATGTTTGGATCTGAAGTAAATCCTCCGTAGGTACCATAGAAGTCTGTGGGCTCAGTCTTTTAATAAACATAATTACTGATAATGAGATAATAAAACATGATGTACAACTACACCGCATGATGCAGATGTGATAAATGTCTAGCAGAAATTAATTTAATGGATTTAAGAGAAGATGTATAAAAACGTTTAAAACAACAATTCAGGAATGATTTTAGTAGGGGGTAAACTGATACAGGTAATTTATTTAGTTTTCATTTATGTTAAATGATCAATAACTATTTTGAGTTGTGCCAATCGTTGTTTTCTGGACAAAATGGTCCTTTGAAATGGGATGCCATGTTGGAAACTTTTATAAATGCGAAACGGGATGCCATAGTTGACACTTTTTATTCAGGAGAAAAAAAACAAAACATCATAGAGCTATTAAATCACAATCCTTTTATATGCTGTTTGGTCTTTTAGGGAAATTTTTTTTTTCTGAAAATTTAGAGTTTAAATGGAGTAGTACATGTTCTTTGACTGGGTTTGCAAAAATATTTGCTTATACTTTATCTTAATGTTCTAAGACTTACTTATACATCAGTTCTAAATGGCATATTGCTATTTCCTTTACATTTACCTTATATATTATATTCAATATCAGTGTTCTCCCCAGGATTTTTTTAAGGCGCAAAATTCAAGGGCGCGTAACTCTTTTTTTAGAGTGAACGTTTGTGATCTGAAGCAATAAGTCATAAATCATGACATGCAATATGAATTATAATGCTTTGTGTTATGTGTTTAATAATGCAGAGTATTAATGAATTACAAGAATATATATATGAAATAAATTGATTTTAAACACAAAAGTTATTTATATTCAGTCAATTAAAGAAGTCAAAATATAAATATTCATCTCTACTCTCTGCTCCTTCTAGGGATATTGTTTCAAGATAGTGTTATTTTGTTGGACAGTCTGTTCCCCAACTTTGTCTTTATCCTCTTCAGGGTTAAAAATTAAACCCCCACTCACAATAACTTTTGCTTATACCCCCTTTAACATTTCTAAGCCATGAAAACTCAGTCAGCCACTTGTCATTGAAACCAGAAACATGGTGCTTGCTTTTATCAATTGCTAAAACTTGAGCTTGGTTGGGATTAGGAGAAGCAATGAAATCTGCTTATACTGACAGTGTAGACGGAGGTGTATTCCACTTTTCATTAGAATTCATTGGTGTGGAAAAAAACTTCTACTTCCATCATCTACCTTTTGCTTATAATTCACCCCTTTGTTATTTGCAGAGAACATGTTCATTCAGAATTAATAAAATCGAATATGGTTAAGATATTTGGTATACAACTTTTTAAAACAAATTTTTTTTATAAATGAACAGCTGACCAGTTTCCGTAGTTTCACATTACGCTTCCGTGCGTATTATTGTTTAATCCTATCTTTGGCAGATAGATATAAACGAAACTTTACAAATTCGTTAAAGTTAAAACCATTGAAATTATTTACCAGTGACATTATACAGAAGCTGCGGCGATTCTGTACCCGTGTTGATTGTCACATATTTCCCGACGCACGGATTCACGATCGATGTTCAATGATCATTTTATTTCTAAAAATATGACAGTTCCAGACGAATTTACCTTGCAAGCAACATTTTTTCACTTTCTATTAAAGTAAATCACTCCTCGTTATCTTTAATCAAACTTTATTTTAATTTTTTCAACTACTAATACTTTCATTCATAGTTTTCATCGTAAATATCTTTAGCAATGTGTATTCAAATTTATCATGTGTATTCAACACGTTCATTGGTCGTGTTTAAATAGATTCTTCTTCTAGACCAATGAAAAAATTCGTTATATAAATGGTCAAGTGATCACACACACGATGCGTAAATACAATGTATTTGCGATCTATTTCTTCAATTTCTGCACTGAAGTTTTTAAAATTTTTAATTTTCTTCAAAAAATATCTATCTTCTTGATGATCATTTAAGCTATTACCTGATAACATAGTCCGATAAGGCTGAGATAAGCGTGGCTCAGGTAAAACTAATTATCAGTTATTGCGTAACACTGACCGACCCATCAGCGGTGATCAGTAACTTGACAATTTTAACCAACATTTTATAATGAAAATGTGAAAATTAACACGCTGCGGGATCAAGTATCAAGGGACAGCGGCCAATTAAGACGCTGCGGGATTTACAAAAATATTATGAAGGCGCTGCGGCACCGCAGCGTCATATCGGCCTGGGGAGAACACTGAATATTAACAACAAACCTTTTAAACTGTTCCAGGGGTGAAGTCGGTGAAGGAAGAGCTCTCCTGGTCTGAACAGAGAAACAACATATCAATTTTAGTTTCCATCATATTTACTGCATATTCATAAATTTTTGTGTGTATTCATTATAACTATTGTTGAACAATTGACAACAATGTGTCCATAGTACATGGATGCCCCACTCGCATTATCATTTTCTATGTTCAGTGGACCGTGAAATTGGGGTCAAAACTCTAATTTGGCATTAAAATTTGAAAGATCATATCATAGGGAACATGTGTACTAAGTTTCAAGTTGATTGGACTTCGACTTCATCAAAAACTACCTTGACCTAAAACTTTAACCTGAAGGGGGACAGACGGAGAGACGAACTGACAAACGAACGCACAGTCCGAAAAAACATAATGCCCCTAGGTGGGGCATAAAAAGATTAATTATTGCAATTTCAGGCAAAACTGCATATATTAAATCATTAATAATAAATGCTACCGATATTCAAAATTCAAGTTTTTATTTTTGCCAAACCTATCCAGTCACAATTATCACAATAATAAAAACACTGAATTTCTGAATTTACAGCAAACAGACCATACATGTCTATCTGTGAAGCTTTAACAAATACATACAAGGTTAATGAAATAATAAACTTATGAGATGAAATATAAATTCATTTCCTAAAGTCAAGATTTTTTATCACTTGTTGATTGTAGTTCGACAGACCACAGCTGCAACATATCATACAATTTAAACTACCGGTAACACCAAAGACAGCTATCCCCCTAAAAATCTGTCAATGTTGTTGATGTTTGTCCTATTTTGTGATGTTCAGGGTTGGTGATAAAAATAGTTTTCTATAGTCTTTGTGGACAGTGCACTTCACTAAGGCCAAAAAAAATAATACATGTGTTTCCGCTAATGTGCTGAAAAAAAAATAGGGTAGGTACCGTAGGTAGGCAATATCATTTTATTTTACAAGCATTTTTTAGCTGGTTACTACGGTACTAGGGAATCAGTCTGACTTTAACAGTGCTTGTTCCAAAATGGCATAAAAAGTGTTAGGGTAGGCACTAAAAATTAGGGTAGGTAGGGTTAGCGGAAACATGTTTTATTTTTTTTGGCCTAAGCATACTCTCCTCTCACCTGCTATCCTTAATGGAAGCACATTCTTGGTATTGAAGACTACCAGTCAGGGGTACTACTTGTATCAGTAATTCTTATTTACTTGAAGAAGTAATATTAATATACTTATATAAGTAAATTTGTAGGATACTTATACAAGTGTATTTTATTTACTTGTATAGGTAAAAAAAAAATTGGCCTCGTTATGTCCCTTACTAGACATTCAGATTTATTTACTTATATAAGTGAAAAAGTCATCTATCTTCTTTTCTTGAATTCTTAGGACTTCTTTGATCTAATAGAATTTTAAATTGTCTGTCCTTTGCAGATGTCTTAACTAATCATTTAAGTGTAATTTCATGGACAATGAAAATCTCATTTGTCTGTTATCTTCAGAACACTGCTCATTTACAAGCCCCCAAGGAGCAATTTTTGAAGGGCTTGCACAAATACTTAAGATCTTTGCACAATCAGTTTCTTTGTTGAATTAATGAGATGAAACATTGAACTCTAATAAAAAATTATGAGCTTACCTGGGAAAAATCATTAAAGGCATGTTTTTACATCTCAAAACTTGTGAATTTTTGTGGGATTGTAAAAAAAATTTACTTATACAAGTGAATTTTTGAGAAAATTAAGAGATTATTCAAACATTATAATTAACTTATATAAGTATACTTTTTTTACTTCTTAAAGTAAATAAAGATTACTTGTACAAGTAGTACCCCTGACTGACTATGGAAGCGATCCAGATAAAATATAACTTTTACATTTTTATTTGATTCTGTTGTATTTTGAGCATCTATGCCCCTAAAAATACCTCATTTTCTCTATCAACACGTTCAATTCAAAAATTAAGATATTCCAAATATTTTCACAATTAACCAACCTTATCTATTTTCAACATAGCTGTGTGTAATACATGGTCCATAAAAAGTCTGTATTGTGATCTAACACTGTGCATCTCATCTATAGTAGTCAATGCTGGAACTACATTCAGTCGGGCAAGATGGCTGCTTATAGCTGCAAAACATGGAGTTAAAGCATTTTGCTGTAGTCCAGTAAATAACAAATATGATGTTTAAGACTATGACTGGGATATACTAATTAAATTAATCTTTCCTGGTGTCACGTGCACTAATGTGGGTCTTCAGTGGAAAATAAAATAATAAAATACAATATGCAAGTTCATTTATTGTATATTTGAATGTACTTGACGGAAATTCAAATTAAATAAGAACCTGATTTCATCAACATTGATTTGATTATTAGGTCTACTTGTTCCAGTAGGTTTAACATATACATGCAGTTTCTTAAAGAAACCTCAATATATGTATAAAATTCTTCTTGGTGCAGGCCAAAGTCTAATATTATGTATATTACTCTGTACATTCTTAATGTCTTATCCAGGCAAAATTTACATAAGCATTCTGATATGCAAACTTAATTTCAGTCTCATTTTTTAGTCTCATTTGACTTTTGCTATGAAATGAGAGATAGACTCAGCTGATACAATGTTGAAACATCTTTGGAATCACATCTACAGAAAATGATGAGTCCACACAGATTTTCATGAGTTTAAGACTCATGGACTCATATTAATTTTGTACATGCAAACCACTGTAGTTAGCAGTTATGATTTTGCTACGGTTGAACATTCAAATGTCCTACTTCTAATTGCAATTTTCGTCATACCTTTGAACAGTTCTTTCCCTTTTTCCTCATCTTGAGCATACATAAAACACAATTGTTCCAATATAGACACCATTAAAAGATGTGAAGGGACAGTTCTAGGCACAAGTCCTCCATTGCATGCATTAGGTACATCCTTGTTGCTCTCTTTGCTAGAAGTCATACTAGCTATGTCAGAGTCTATAAAATTAAAATAAATGTCTCGTATGACAAAAGAGTTGACATAAGGGACTATCAAAGCACTTATGAAAGTGAAAACTTGTCTTGCTTTGCTTTAATTACGTCTACAAAGCCACTATTATATGTTATAATGAATATACTTTATGCAGTATTAAAACATTACCCTTTTGTCTGGTATCTCAATTTGTTAATTGAATAACCTAAAAGACAATGACAAATTTCTATACAGATTTTTTTATTGTGTGTTTTGGTTTTACAACATATGGTCTAGACATGCAAAGGGGGAGGTTTGTGTACAAATAAAACTGATTTGACCCTACTACATTTTGAGCATGTACTTCGGTTATCTGGGCCATGTATTGCTTGTCTTTATTTGTATGTCTATTTTTTCAAGGAGTTGGGTGTTGAATGTTAATATGGTTTGTTGAGTTGTGCTGTATTTTGGGGATTCCTGCTATCTGTTATTATGTATTATACAAGTATAAGCAAACTCCTGTTTTCATTTTTAATGAAGTTTGATATATAATCTTCTAAAACATGTAGCTCAAAAGAGAATAAAAAATATCTTACCATCAAAGGTTCTGATAGAAGTAGGCTTGTATCGCTGAAAACTCTTTGATATTCTGGATTTCATGCTCTCATCATTGTTGTGATCCATAACATTCTACAAGGTATTGCACACATAATTAAAAATAGTACATGTCATGCATGTATGAAAAAATAAATTTGTAGTGACTAATATATTTTTTTAAGAATTGAGAACAGCAACACATAATCTAGCATTGTCTGAAGCTGTTTCAGATTCCTTTTGGTCCTTTTAAAAAAAAAGATGAGCTCTGAATCCCCCCAAAATTAATACAGTTCTTAATTTATTGTTAAACTGTCTTAAAATTTCAGAGAAATCAATGTATATCCAAGGTAATCATATTGATTTATAAGTGAAATAATCATATAAATCCCTACGGATTATTTTATTGTACAATTTGTAAATTCAATTAAAATAAAATGCTTCGCTGGGCGCAGCTTGATACGACCGCAGAGGTCGAACCCTGAACAGTTGGGGCAAGTATGGACACAACATTCAAGCTTGATACAGCTCTGAATTTGGGTTGTGATTAAATATTTGACACAGCATAGGTTTCTGACACAGAAAGAATGTGGTCTAAGAACTTGATTTTTTTTAATTTACCTATTATGGTCCAATGTCCAAAATCTAAATACATGGTTAGATTCAGCATATCAAAGAACCCCATATATTCAATTCTTGTTGAAATCAAAAAAAGTTTAATTTTGGACCCAAACTTGGACCAACTTGAAAACTGGGCCCATAATCAAAAATCTAAACACATGTTTAGATTCAGCATATCAAAGAACCCCAATAATTCAATTTTTGATGAAATCAAACAAAGTTTAATTTTGAACCCTTTTGACCTCAATATGAACCAATTTGATAGCGGGCCTACAAATAAAAAATCTGAATACATGGTTAGATTCAGCATATCAAAGAACCCCATATATTCAATTTTTGTTGAAATCAAACAAAGTTTAATTTTGGACCCCAATTTGGACCAACATGAAAACTGGGCCAAAAATCTAAAATCTAAATACATGTTTAGATTCAGCATATCAAAGAACCCCATATATTCAATTTTTGTTGAAATGAAACAAAGTTTAATTTTGGACCCCAACTTGGACCAACTTGAAAACTGGGCCCATAATCAAAAATTTAAACACATGTTTAGATTCAGCATATCAAAGAACCTCAAGAATTCAATTTTTGTTAAAATCAAACTAATTTTAATTTTGGACCCTTTGGACCTTAATGTAGACCAATTTAAAAAACAGGACCCAAAATTAAAAATCTAAATACACTGTTAGATTTGGCATATCAAAGAACCCCAATAATTAAATTTTTGATGAAATCAAACGAAGTTTAATTTTGGACCCTTTTGACCTCAATATAAACCAATTTGATAGCGGGGTCCACAAATAAAAAATCTAAATACATGGTTAGATTCAGCATATCAAAGAACCCCATATATTCAATTTTTGTTGAAATCAAACAAAGTTTAATTTTGGACCCCACTTTGGACCAACTTGAAAACTGGGCCAAAAATCTAAAATCTAAATACATGTTTAGATTCAGCATATCAAAGAACCCCATATATTCAATTTTTGTTGAAATCAAACAAAGTTTAATTTTGAACCCCAACTTGGACCAACTTGAAAACTGGGCCCTTAATCAAAAATCTAAACACAAGGTTAGATTCAGCATATCAAAGAACTCCATATATTCATTTTTTGTTGAAATCAAACAAAGTTTAATTTTGGACCCAAATTTGGACCAACTTGAAAACTGGGCCAAAAATCAAAAATCTAAATACATGTTAAGATTCAGCATATCAAAGAACCCCATATATTCAATTTTTGTTAATATCAAACAAAGTTTAATTTTGGACCCTTTGGACCTTAATGTAGACCAATTTGAAAACTGGACCCAAAATTAAAAATCTAAATACACGGTTAGATTCAGCATAACAAATAAATAAATGTGGTCAAAGATTTTACAAATCTAATGCGCCATACTGTGCAATTAAAGATTACTTCTTGAAATTTTTCAATATTTGAAATTTGAAAAAAAAATAATATTTGAAGAATAATTCTTTTTAATTTCTGAAATCTGAAATGAGAAAAAATTGACCCCCCACAATTTCTTTTTACCCCCCCCCCCCCCTTTTTTCCCCCAAAAAATTCTTTCCCTCAAGATATGGTCATAATCTCAATTCAAATTTCCAATGGAGTTTGCAACCATAATTACCCATTTAAATTTACCATAGTGCTAACTTAATCTATTTTATAATAGAATTTAAAATATAGTGTCAAATCTTTCATATGGATTTTTTTGTAAAAAAAAAAGATGCAACATTTGCAGATATTTTTACTGGTCTTCCTTTATAAATATGCATTTCTTTAAACATAATTTAAAAGCAGTGTAAGGGAAGTAACCAAAATGTTGTATTTGAATTCCCTCCCTTACACTGTTTTAAATTATCTTAATTGTTCATTAACCATTACTTTATACATAATTTAAAAGCAGTGTAAGGGAGATAATTTCAATGATGTATTTGATTTATCTCCCTTACACTGCTTTAAATTATGTTTTGTACTAAAGTATTTGTCCATTAACCAGGACAACCTTGTTTTTCCCCCTTTTTTGCCCCTAATTCCTAAACGGTTTGAGCCATAACCCCCCAAAGCAAATCCTAACCATCCCTTTGTGGTATGGAAACTTGTAGTATAATTTCAGAGAGATCCATACACCGTTCCACAGTTATTGTCTGGAAACTAGAAAATGCTTATTTTTGGCCCCTTTTTGGCCCCTAATTCCTTAACTGTTGGTACCATAACCCCCAAAATCAATCCCCACCTTCCTTTTGTGGTATTTAACCTTATGGTAAAATTTCAAAGAGATCCATTCACTGAAACTAAAGTAAGAGTGCGAAAACCAATGTGTCTTCGGACGACGACGCCAACTTCATACCAATATACTCGTATAAAAATTAAATTTTTCTTTAACCTAATTTACATTTCCCTTTTACCGCATTACAAGGACACAGAAATGTAAAAATTATCTGCACATGTGTATTCATACATATCTGATCTTGTGGCATCATGCCATTAATATGTCAATTTGACATATAGGTATGGTTTCAATTCCATTCACAGGATCATTAGTGGATGTTAGGTGGTCTGATAGCAACATGAACCCCAACAAAACCCATGCTCTGGAATGGTTTAATCCTTCTCTATATGTGAAGACCTTCATGTTACTCCTATGAATATTTACCGACATGGCAACAAACGCTGTGGTGAAGCTATCCTTGCAACATTAGCTTCTAGTTTTTTTTTATTCAGAAACCCTTTGAATTAGCAATAATTTCGATCTATGTTAATTTACTGGGACCTTGGTCTTGGATATACAAAACTTAAAATCAAATGGGATGTCTCTCGAACTATATATATCTATATATCATATATGTTGTATGACACGTATGACTAATATATGTTGAAAAACCTCGCCCGTAATGATAAATTATGTAATTCATTGACCGCTCCCGACATGTGTAACTTCAAGGCATATTTTAGCGGCGATTGATGTCTTTCAAAATTACTCCACTTTTCTTGTATCCCTGGTGCTTTCGACTGGAGAACCGTTGTACACAAGCATCGCACAAGTTGGCACTCCAAGGCGGGTGGGGAGCAAGAAGGTGAACTGTGGTTTATTTTTATCAATAGTACCGCTTAAGTCGACGCTAGGGGCCGTCTTGGCCTTGTTGTAGGGTATGAATGATTCGTTCATTGTTGAAGCCCCTACATCAACTGTCAAGATGAAGAACAGGAATAAAAGCCCCGTTTATTGATAATTTCTATGTTTTCTATGTATTGTGTGCGATTTTGTCCCATGTACATTTACTCCATATCCCTTCATTTTCTATCATGTACATTGAGTACTGTGAAAGTACTTTTATTCGTGGGGTACCAATTTTCGTTGTTTTCGTGGATGGCTTTATCCACGAATTTAAGTGTCCAACGAAATATAACAACTGTTGTCTAAAAATTAATTTAAGACATGGAAAAATCCCAATGTAGGTCTGATTATGTGGATACGAAAAATACATTGAAACAGCAAACTAACTATGAACTCTATATGTACAACTTCAGACAGGATTTTACCCATTGAATTTAAAAAAAAAAAAAACGACACGACTCTTAACATTTTAATTATAATGCAAAGCTTGTGATGATATGCGCTGATGAAGTGTTCATAATATTTTAACTTCACATAATTCCCGTTGAACAAAACAAAAATAATAAAATGCTTTGCTGGGGCGCAGCTTGATACGACCGCAAAGGTCGAACCCTGAACAGTTGGGGCAAGTATGGACACAACATTCAAGCTTGATACAGCTCTGAATTTGGATTGTTATTAAATATTTGACACAGCATAGGTTTCTGACACAGAAAGAATGTGGTCTAAGAACTTGAATTTTTTTAATTTACCTATTATGGTCCAATGTCCAAAATCAAAATACATGGTTAGATTCAGCATATCAAAGAACCCCATATATTCAATTTTTGTTAAAATCAAACAAAGTTTAATTTTGGACCCCAACTTGGACCAACTTGAAAACTGGGCCCATAATCAAAAATCTAAACACATGTTTAGATTCAGCATATCAAAGAACCCCAAGAATTCAATTTTTTCTAAAATCAAACTAAGTTTAATTTTGGACCCTTTGGACCTTAATGTAGACCAATTTAAAAAACGGGACTTAAAATTAAAAATCTAAATACACGGTTAGATTTGGAATATCAAAGAACCCCAATAATTCAATTTTTGATGAAATCAAACAAAGTTTAATTTTGGACCCTTTTGACCTCAAAATGAACCAATTTGATAGCGGGGCCCACAAATAAAAAATCTAAATTCATGGTTAGATTCAGCATATCAAAGAACCCCATATATTCAATTTTTGTTGAAATTAAAAAAAGTTTAATTTTGGACCCCAACTTGGACCAACTTGAAAACTGGGCCCATAATCAAAAATCTAAACATATGTTTAGATTCAGCATATCAAAGAACCCCAAGAATTCAATTTTTGTTAAAATCAAACTAAGTTTAATTTTGGACCCTTTGGACCTCAATGAAGACCAATTTAAAAAACGGGACCCAAATTAAAAATCTAAAAACACGGTTAGATTTGGCATATCAAAGAACCCCAATAATTCAATTTTTGATGAAATCAAACAAAGTTTAATTTTGGACCCTTTTGACCTCAATATGAACCAATTTGATAGCGAGGCCCACAAATAAAAAATCTAAATACATGGTTAGATTCAGCATATCAAAGAACCTCATATATTCAATTTTTGTTGAAATCAAACAAAGTTTAATTTTGGACCCCAATTTGGACCAACTTGAAAACTGGGCCCATAATCAAAAATCTAAATACATGTTTAGATTCAGCATATCAAAGAACTCCATATATTCAATTTTTGTTGAAATCAAACAAAGTTTAAATACTGGACCCTATCTTGGACCAACTTGAAAACTGGGCCCATAATCAAAAATCTAAACACATGTTTAGATTCAGCATATCAAAGAACCCCAAGAATTCAATTTTTGTTAAAATCAAACTAAGTTTAATTTTGGACCCTTTGGACCTTAATGTAGACCAATTTAAAAAACAGGACCCAAAATTAAAAATCTAAATACACAGTTAGATTTGGAATATCAAAGAACCCCAATAATTCAATTTTAGATGAAATCAAACAAAGTTAAATTTTGGACCCTTTTGACCTCAATATGAACCAATTTGATAACGGGGTCCACAAATAAAAAATCTAAATACATGGTTAGATTCAGCATATCAAAGAACCTCATATATTCAATTTTTGTTGAAATCAAACAAAGTTTAATTTTGGACCCCACTTTGGACCAACTTGAAAACTGGGCCAAAAATCAAAAAACACGTTTAGATTCAGCATATCAAAGAACCTCATATATTCAATTTTTGCTAAAATCAAACAAAGTTGAATTTTGTACCCTTTGGACCTTAATGTAGACCAATTTGAAAACTGGACCCAAAATTAAAAATCTAAATACACTGTTAGATTCGGCATAACAAATAAATAAATGTGATCAAAGATTTTACAAATCTAATGCGCCATACTGTGCAATTAAAGATTACTTCTTGAAATTTTTCAATATTTGAAATTTGAAAAAAAAATAATATTTGAAGAATAATTCTTTTTAATTTCTGAAATCTGAAATGAGAAAAAATTGACCCCCCACAATTTCTTTTTATCCCCCCCCTTTTTTCCTCCAAAAAATTCTTTCCCTCAAGATATGGCCATAATCTCAATTCAAATTTCCAATGGAGTTGGCAACCATAATTACCCATTTAAATTTACCATAGTGCTAACTTAATCTATTTTATAATAGAATTAAAAATATAGTGTCAAATCTTTCATATGGTTTTTTTTGTAAAAAAAAAAGATGCAACATTTGCAGATATTTTTACTGGTCTTCCTTTATAAATATGCATTTCTTTAAACATAATTTAAAAGCAGTGTAAGGGAAGTAACCAAAATGTTGTATTTGGATTACCTCCCTTACACTGTTTTAAATTATCTTTATTGTTCATTAACCATTACTTTATACATAATTTAAAAGCAGTGTAAGGGAGATAATTTCAATGATGTATTTGATTTATCTCCCTTACACTGCTTTAAATTATGTTTTGTACTAAAGTATTTGTCCATTAACCAGGACAACCTTGTTTTTCCCCCTTTTTTGCCCCTAATTCCTAAACGGTTTGAGCCATAACCCCCCCAAAGCAAATCCTAACCATCCTTGGTGGTATGGAAACTTGTAGTATAATTTCAGAGAGATCCATACACCGTTCCACAGTTATTGTCTGGAAACTAGAAAATGCTTATTTTTGGCCCTTTTTTGGCCCCTAATTCCTTAACTGTTGGTACCATAACCCCCAAAATCAATCCCAACCTTCCTTTTGTGGTATTTAACCTTATGGTAAAATTTCAAAAAGATCCATTCACTTAAACTAAAGTTAGAGTGCGAAAACCAATGTGTCTTCGGACGACGACGCCGACGACGCCAACATCATACCAATATACGACCACAAATTTTTTTTGCGGTCGTATAATAATTTCATATTGGGCTTGCTTTTTTATTTCATATGAATTCATTCTACAATTAAAAGTAGATTTGTTGCATTTCTTTTTGTAACGGTTTTCGTCAAGTGATATGTTTATTACTCAATTAACGCCTTTTATCTTTGTTAATCTGTTGATCCTTTGAACTCGGGTTAATTAGTGTCATCACTTCTAATTAAATGTGTGCTACAATTAAAATGTTTACTTTGCAATGTCCTTCAATCGAGACAACTCGTAAGCACCGAAGAATCACCATATTTCCAAAAGAATTTTTTCATTAAAAAAATATGAATATGTTGTCAGTTAGACAGACAAACAAAAAGGTGAAAATGAACACTTTATTTTGCAATGTCCCACAAATCATTCTAAAAATTGAATGATTATTTTCAAGAATCTCTGTTTCTGATGGCTTCAAATTCTTCACTCATTTTTTTCCTCAGAAACTAAAATCCACGAATTTAAGAACCCACAAACATGTAACTTTTGCTCAAACCACGAAAATTGATACCCACGAATAAAAGTACTTTCACAGTATATCCAAGTACCTAGCAAAATATCATATGACTGTAAGAGATGACAAGTAGACAACTGAAACATAAGTCAAGATAAAGGGAAATCAATCCTGAAGCATTCTTCTGTGTTCAATGCACAAAATCGTATTTTTAGCATTCTTGCTTTGGCATTGGCCAAAGTGACATGCCAGTATACTACTGGCTGCTAGCATGTCGGCCGCCATGATTGTTTTCAAATCGTTTTGATAAAAATAAATTCCAGATGCAAAAGTGATTGTTGTACGACATCAATAGTTCAAGTATCGCAAATTATCAGATCAAGTGTTGCAGATTATGAAATAGCTATAAGGTTGACAGGGTATCCGGTCCATTCCCTCCCAATACACTTCCGCACCCTACACGTTCACCCCCTGGGTCCATTCGCACTTTGTTTTTATTGAAATACCGGTTGGATTATTAGATGTGTTTATATGTGTATATTAAAATATTTATATTTTAATGAATAAAAATGCAAAAGTGATTGTTGTACGACATCAATAGTTCAAGTATCGCAAATTATCAGATCAAGTGTTGCAGATTCAGAAATAGCTATAAGGTTGACAGGGTATCGGGTTCATTCGCTCCCAATACACATTCACCCCCTTGGTCTATTCGCACCCTATTTTTATTGAAATACCGGTAGGAACAATAGATGTGTTGAAATGTATATATCAAAATATTTATATTTAATGAATAAAAATTCGGGAATTTTTAAATGAAATATCTTTGTTATTTGTGATTTGATGATTAATCATTAAATGTTAATTATGTATGATTACTGCTAATTGGTATTTACAAAGCTTATAATTTGGTAATATTAATTGTTCTGTGTTATGAAAATCATAATGAATAACATAAAATAAATGCTCTATATCGTAACTGATGGCTGTAATTCATTGTTGTACGTGGCAATGTCATAATGAGTTTGATAGTCGTTTGGTATCTTCCGCATTTCTTCTACAAGTCTTAGATGAATGAACTTTGCCTTGATCATCATGACAATGTTTTATCTATTATTCATTTTGTTAAAATAATGAATAAAACACTAAAGGATACCTGTTTACGTTTTTAAAATGTCACTTTATTTTGAAACAATAAAAAAAAAACTTATTTATAGCAATAGCCAATACACTAACTAAAAAACAATTAAAAAAATGTTAATACAAACAAATAAAAAGTGTGCAAACGTGTCGGGTGGGAACGTGAAAGGGAACGAACGTGAATGGGAACGAACGTGAATGGGAGTGAAAATGATTTTTGGTGAACTGACCCGAATTCGGTTCACAGCTGATTCCTGACCAAGTTTCACACATATATTTTAAACACACACACACAAAATTATAGAAATTGTTAATCTTAAAACAAAATAATTACTGTGGATATTGCTGCGAGGCTTGTAACATAAGTTTGAGCAGAGAAATTGTTTTATATGTTACTTTCTGTGTTTGAGATTCCCATTTTTAGATCTTTCTTCATGTCCTAAGTTCCTGAACATTCTGAACATCATGTTCTATAAATAAAAGGGAAATTTGGAAAATATTGCATTACAGCGGAATTTCCACAAAAAAAAAAATATAAAAATATCTGTCCTGACTACAAATAACTAATGCACAATAAAATCAGCTAAAGTAGAAAGCCTGAAAGGTGAGCCAGCAGTGACCTTACTGTCAGTTTGCAGAAAACAAAACAGTCTCTCTGGAGTTATTTCCCATTTGAAAGTGGGACTATTTCAAAATGTTATTTGGTTGATTATTGCATCATCTTGCATTTACCGCTTCATCATGAAATTCTAGAAGTCTGAGATATAAGAATATTAATGAGTTGAATAAAAATAATTGAAATGATTACTATCAATACTTTCAAAAGTGAAATGGTCAATTAAAAATTCCAGTGGTGAAATTTTCCCCTAAACAAAGGGTTACACTAATGACAGGACGATTGACCGGAAACGTTGAATCACCCATTACATGGAAGTCAGAAAAACTATAAAATCCTTGAAAAACAATAAAAGCGGAGGTATATGTGAGCCAAAATTTGTTCCTGTGAAAAAAGTTCCAATGGAACTTATGTCACAGGAAATATGTTCTGGTAGAACTTTTTTCACAGGTAATTTCTATATAATTTGTTCCATCTCTATAAAATAAGTTCCACACTTTACCTGGTGAAATAAATATCGGGTTGGTGACGGTAGGTCTTTTCACCACCGAACACCGCCGAACACCACCGAACACCCCAAAAATTTATATTTTTGAACTTTTATTGTTATAAATGTGACCTAAATATGATATTTAATTTATTAATTCAACAAATAATAAGGTTAAGAGAACAAACATTACATGACAGGACTACAATACAAATAATGGGAGAACATATAGGACAGAGAAACATACGAATAATAGCTAACAAAAGGTACCAGGTTTAAAATTTAATACGCAAGACGCACGTTTCGTCCACACATGACTAACCAGTGACGCTCAGATCAAGTTATCTTATATACTAAGCATTTGTCATCAGTGAGTTCAAAGTTATCATTCAAGTGCATTATAAAAATAAGTATTATATTAATAATATAATAGATAAAAAGTGTAAACCATCCAGTTTGGATCCTATGGAGTATAGCAAATGCTTAATTATATACTCTGTAAAAAATATCTAAATGACACTTTTGAACCAGAAAAGATTAGAATAAGAAAAAATCATTCAGAAAAAAAGTATAGTTTAAGAGGAACATGTGTACTAATTTGAAAAGGCCAAGTGACTTGATCATTTATAAATATCAAAAGACATGTAGAAAAAAAGACACACTCTTTTGAAACACTGCCATGTCCTAAGTACATGTATGACTAGAACACGGGGCCATGACAGTTAACAGGAACCAAGGAGGAATACCGCATAAAACATAAATACAAATTACGATACATTACCATCGCTTTTATTTCTTATCTTCATCTTATAGTTACAGTCATGCCTTCAATTGCAAATGTATCCCATGCAAGTACACTCAGTACAGCATTTAGCTTGCATTATAATTTAAGTGTAACAAGAAAATGTTTCGGTGTGCAATAATGATTGAGCTGAACTTATTCATTAGTTTCTATGAAATATTTTCATGTTCGTTTAAAACTAATGTCACAGGAACTTATTTAAAACTTTTTAATATTAATTGAAACAAAATTCATGGAGCTATGATTTTTGTTCCGGAACTTATTTCACATTTGGTCAAAAAATTAGTTCCGGAACAAATTTTACAGAGCTGGAACATATTTTCTGTGATATAAATTCCGGTGGAACATATTTCCTATGAAATTTGTTCCGGCGGAACAAATGTCACGCCGGAACAAATTTTTTGTTACATATTGACCTTATTCTCAATGAATTTTTGAAATATGGTTCAGAAAGCTTAATATTGCCACTAGTAAAACTCTTTAATAAAATTTTTTAATCTGGTATATTTCCAGATATTTCAACTATGAGGGGGGGGGGGGGGGGGGGGTAATGGGTTGTACTCATCACGGTTCACGAGATATTAAATTTGCTGATTACAGTTCACAGGAAATAAATTTTCCTGATCACAGTTCACAACTAATTTGATAATCCTTATAAGCACGTTGTTCACTCATTTCCTGGAAGGTTTAGTACATTTACTATATTTTAAATCAGTTTAGATATCACCATACTTGAGTAAATTATTACTATAACAGAGTTTTTGATGGAAAGGCTGAGAAGCAGCCATTTGGGAAAGAACATTCCAATGGAAGTGTACCCGAATACATTTGGCATCTTTGAACTTGTGTACCAACATATACTTGCCAATTGGAGATTTTTTTTCTTTCAACAAATGATTTCAATTTGACTATGCTCAAGTCTCATTATTGTATATCTATGACTTTATTTCAGTATTAATTTTACTATCGAGGTATACCATCCCCATCCATATAACTTAACAAATCTTTGATTATTTTTCACGATAAAGCAATGGACACCAACGCAATTACCGGATCGAGACCAAGCAAATACACAGTGAATAACCTGCATGTGTTCATTCACAGTGCAGTGTTTTTAAAACCCTTGAAATTCATATAGATAACAAAAGCTTCAAGGAACAAGCAGGACTACCAAAAACTGATGGAAAGGCAATACTTTGAATTGAATAAGCAATGTTTAAAAGTAGAAAAAAAAACCCAAAACATGAAAAAATATAACTAGAAATTGAATAACAAGGTCCCTACCGAAAATTTTGGTTTCAATTAGGTGCTCCAGATGAAACCATATAAGTATTAAATAAATTATCAGCAAGATTTTCACGTGAAACTTGGGACTCGGATCAGTGTCTCGACTCAAATTGTCACAGTGTCCTATTTTCAATTCAGCTTCCACTGATGTCAACATCTCAAATTGTTGTCCTTTTTTAAATTCAGCTTCCACTGATGTCAACATCTCATGGTCAGATTAAACTTTATTATCAAATCGATGTGCTTTCCAAATTCTATTGCGTCTATGTATAACAACTTCACCAAATAATCGGCATTTTTATTATCAATTGCTTTCCATTCATAAATTTATATAGATCAACTGGTTAGTACAGTTTATTCGTTATTTCAAAGCCTAAGTAGCTAGCGTACGTATCGAATGATCCTTGTAAACATATGTACTCACTTCGGCAGTACATATACATGTACTAAAATATATATGTCCATCAATTTGAGACAGTGAGAAACAGGGCGAAGCTCCCCATAAGCTGTAGAGGTTTTGCAATTTGAACAAAAAGAATCTGTTAGGAATTAACGATAGCAGTTGTTTTATTTTATTTCATCATAATAATGTTGATAATAAAATTGAGAATGAAAATGGGGAATGTGTCAAAGAGACAACAACCCGACCATAGAGCAGACAACAGCCGAAGGCCACCAATGGGTCTTCAATGCAGCGAGAAACTCCCGCACCCGGAAGCGTCCTTCAGCTGGACCCTAAACAAATATGTATACTAGTTCAGTGATAATGGACGTCATACTAAACTCCAAATTATACACAAGAAACTAAAATTAAAAATGATACAAGACTAACAAAGGCCAGAGGCTCCTGACTTGGGACAGGCGCAAAAATGCGGCGGGGTTTAAAAACATGTTTTTGGAGATCTCAACCCTCCCCCTATACCTCTAGCCAATGTAGAAAAAACAAACGTACAACAGTACGCACAGTAAAACTCGATCAGTTTAAGAGAAGTCCAAGTCCGATGTCAGAATAGGAAACAAAAGAAAATAAACATAATGACAATAATACATAAATAATAACAGACTACTAGCAGTTACTGACATGCCAGCTCCAGACCTCAATTAAACTGATTGAAAGATTATGTCTTCATCATATGAATAGCAGGCACAATCCCCCCTGTTAGGGGTTTAGTATTATACCATCATAAAATATATGAGAAGAACATAACCCGTGTCATGCCAACAACTGGTTTTAGAATAAATATGTTTAATTCCGATGCAAAGACCCTATAAGTGAATTAATATTAAAGCCAAAATATGCAATCTTTAATGACCTATGCAATCTTTAATGTCTTACGCTATTAAAGTTATACTACAGATCTATGAGTTGATTACTATTACCAATATCATATTCAATGTTCAAATGAATATATAAATGTTCTCAAAACATTTAACACTTTTTATGCCCCCGCCATAGCGGTGGGGGCATTAAGTTTTATCCTTGTCCGTCCGTCTGTACGTACGTACGTCCCAAAATTGGTTTCCGTTCTCTAAGTTTGCCTCAACCAAATGTTATTAAACTTATACACAATGCTTGATACCACAAAACACAGATCAAGTTAGAATTTTAGTGGTGTCACTTTAACTGTTCTAGAGTTATGCCCCTTTTTAAATGGAAAAATTGCAAAAAAATTTAGTTTCCGTTCTCTAACTTAAGATAGCCTCAACCAAATGTTATGAAACTTATACACAATGCTTGTTACTACAAAACACAGATCAACTTTGAATTTTGGTGGCGTCACTTTAAACGTTCTAGAGTTATGCCCCTTTATAAATGGAAAAATTGCAAAACTTTTAGTTTCCGTTCTCTAACTTAAGTTTGCCTCAACCAAATGTTATGAAACTTATATACAATGCTTGTTACTACAAAACACAGATCAACTTTGAATTTTGGTGGCGTCACTTTAACCGTTCTAGAGTTATGCCCCTTTATAAATGGAAAAATTGCAAAATTTTTAGTTTCTTCTAAATAACAAGTAATTTTTAAAATTGGAGTTATCTTCCTTTGTCCATGATTATAGTTGAATCAACTACAATAAATGCTTTATACAATGCAATGTTCAATTTTGACTTGCACTGATAAAACACAGATCAAGTTGAATTTAGGTAGTGTCACTTTAACCATTATTGAGTTATGCCCCTTTATAAATCGAAAGATTGCAAAAATTTTTGTTTCCGTTTTCTAACTTAAGTTTGCCTCAACCAAACATTATGAAACCTATACACAATATTCATTACCACAAAATAAAGATCAAGTACGAAATTTGGT